TGTATGGTAAAAGCTGGCGGGCTAATAGTTTGGACAAGCCAGCTGTCAGACGCTGGGCAAGGGGGTGACTTTCTGACATTGTCTTCTTACGCTCAAACATGTCCTTGACAGACACATGACTGTGGGAAGATGAGCGTGAACTGCTCAAGGCGGGAGGCGGAGTGGCGGATGGTTGAGAGGGGACAAGGAGGACAGCAGTGGTTGACGTGGCTGAAGATGTTGGACCAGGAGGAGGCTGGCGGCTTAGAGTAGGCGAGCTGCTTGTACTCATGTGTTGATCCCATAGGCGCTTGTGATGTGAGATCATGTGCCTACGCAAAGCAGTTGTACCTAGGTGGGTGTTGGACTTCCCACGACTCAGTTTCTTTTGGCACAGGTTGCAAATGGCATCGCTGTTGTCAGAGGTAGACACACAAAAAAAATTCCACACTGCTGAGCTCTGCAATGACGGCATTCTGGTGATGGACACAGCATGCGTTGATTGGCGTGCTGTCGGGCTGACCCCGGGTGTCGATGCATGCTGTCTGACTGTGCCACTAGCTCCTTGCGACGACCTCCCCCTGCTTCCAACTCGCCTCCTCCTCCTCCCTGTCTCCCCATCTGAACTTTCGCCCTGTTCTTCTTCTTGACGAGCGGGCACCCACGTGACATCCATGGACGCATCGTCATCATCAACCGCTTCACTTGTATCTGACAACTCAGCAAAGGAAGCAGCAGCGGGTACAACATCATCATCATCATCACACCGTACGCCCATGTGTGTAATGCTGCCTGCCTGAGACATATCCCTGTTATCTACATCCTCTGGCAATAATGGTTGCGCATCACTCATTTCTTCAAACGGATGTGTGAATAACTCCTCTGACATACCAACCGAAGCGGCTGTGGTGCTAGTTTTGGTGGTGGCGGCAGGCTGGTGAGTGGTATCTTGAGAGGTGCCTGAAGCTAAGCTGGAGGAGGATGGTGCGTCAAGGTTCTGAACGGAGGCTGTAGAAGATTGGGTGTCCTGTGTTAGCCAGTCAACTATGTCCTCAGAACTTTTCAAGTTCAGGGTACGTGGCCTCTGAAAACTGGGCATTATTCTAGGGCCAAAGGGAATCACAGCACCACGACCATGATGGCCCCTGCGGGGTGGCCTGCCTCTGCCTGTCATTTTTTTGGGGATTAGTGGTACTATGCGTGCAAGCTACTGTAAGACCAGATATGAGTGGCAATGTGCACTGGCACAGTTGTGCAGAGCACAGGCTGTAGGCCTGACACAGCCACTTCAAGGACACTGACTGGCTGCTATTAGCTTACACTGGAAACCTTTTTTTCTTTGTAAAAGCACGCTACAGAGACACCAGATATGAGTGGCAAAGTACACAGGCAGAGGTCTGCAGAGCATACGCTGAAGGAGGCCTGACACCCGCTTTAAGGACACTGACTGCTATACAATCTATAACAGTGAAAAAAGTTTTTTGTTTTAAATGCAAGCTATTGTGACACCAGATATAAGTGGTGGCACTGACTGGGGAAATGGGCACAGTATCCACTGTGAGCCTGACACAGAAGCTGGCAGCAGTGGCAGACAACTGACTGCTATTCAATCTATAACAGTGAAAAAGTTTTTTGTTTTTAAATCCAAGCCATTGTGACACCAGATGTAATTGGTGGCACTGACTGGGGAAATGGGCACAGTATGCACTGTGAGCCTGACACAGAAGCTGGCAGCAGTGGCAGACAACTGACTGCTATTCAATCTATAACAGTGAAAAAAGTTTTTGGTTTTTAAATGCAAGCTATTATGTCACCAGTGAGTGATGGCACTGGGCACCGTATCCACTGTTAGCGTAACACATCCGCTTTAAGGACACTGACTGCTATTCAATCTATAACAGTGAAAAAAGTTTTTTGTTTTTAAATGTAAGCTATTGTGACACCAGTGAGTGGTGGGACTGGGCACCGTATCCACTGTTAGCGTAACACACCCGCTTTAAGGACAGTGACTGCTATTCAATCTATAACAGTGAAAAAAGTTTTTTGTTTTTAAATCCAAGCTATTGTGACACCAGATATAATTGGTGGCACTGGTCACCGTATCCATTGTTAGCGTAACACACCCGCTTTAAGGACACCGACTGCTATTCAATTTATAACAGTGAAAAAAGTTTTTTTTTTTTTAAATCCAAGCTATTGTGACACCAGATATAAGTGGTGGCACAGGTCACCGTATCCACTGTTAGCGTAACACACCCGCTTTAAGGACACTGACTGCTATTCAATCTATAACAGTGAAAAAAGTTTTTTGCTTTAAATGCAAGCTATTGTGACACCAGATATAAGTGGTGGCACTGGGCACCGTATCCACTGTTAGCGTAACACACCCGCTTTAAGGACACTGACTGCTATTCAATCTATAACAGTGAAAAAGTTTTTTGTTTTTAAATCCAAGCTATTATGACACCAGTGAGTGGTGGCACTGGGCACGGTATACACTGTTAGCGTAACACACCCGCTTTAAGGACACTGACTGCTATTCAATCTATAACAGTGAAAAAAGTTTTTTGTTTTTAAATGCAAGTTATTGTGACACCAGATATGAGTGGTGGCACTGGGCACCGTATCCACTGTGAGCTTAACACACCCGCTTTAAGGACACTGACTGCTATTCAATCTATAACAGTGAAAAAAGTTTTTTGTTTTTAAATGCAAGCTATTGTGACACCAGATATGAGTGGTGGCACTGGGAACCGTATCCACTGTTAGCGTAACACACCCGCTTTAAGGACACTGACTGCTATTCTATCTATAACAGTGAAAAAAGTTTTTTGTTTTTAAATGCAAGCTATTGTGACACCAGTGAGTGGTGGCACTGGGCACCGTATCCACTGTGAGCTTAACACACCCGCTTTAAGGACACTGACTGCTATTCAATCTATAACAGTGAAAAAGTTTTTTGTTTTTAAATGCAAGCTATTGTGACACCAGATATGAGTGAGTGGTGGCACTGGGCACCGTATCCACTGTGAGTTTAACACACCCGCTTTAAGGACACTGACTGCTATTCAATCTATAACAGTGAAAAAAGTTTTTTGTTTTTAAATGCAAGCTATTGTGACACCAGTTAGTGGTGGCACTGGGCACCGTATCCACTGTTAGCGTAACACACCCGCTTTAAGGACACTGACTGCTATTCAATCTATAACAGTGAAAAAAGTTTTTTGTTTTTAAATGCAAGCTATTGTGACACCAGTGAGTGGTGGCACTGGGCACCGTATCCACTGTGAGCTTAACACACCCGCTTTAAGGACACTGACTGCTATTCAATCTATAACAGTGAAAAAAGTTTTTTGTTTTTAAATGCAAGCTATTGTGACACCAGATATGAGTGGTGGCACTGGCACCGTATCCACTGTGAGCTTAACACACCCGCTTTAAGGACACTGACTGCTATTCAATCTATAACAGTGAAAAAAGTTTTTTGTTTTTAAATGCAAGCTATTGTGACACCAGTGAGTGGTGGCACTGGGCACCATATCCACTGTGAGCTTAACACACCCGCTTTAAGGACACTGACTGCTATTCAATCAATAACAGTGAAAAAAGTTTTTTGTTTTTAAATGCAAGCTATTGTGACACCAGATATGGGTGAGTGGTGGCACTGACTGGGCAAATGGGCACAGTATCCACTGTGAGCCTGACACAGAAGCTGGCAGCAGTGGCAGACAACTAACTGCAATTACATTACACATAAAAAAAAAAGCATACCCTACCCCTAACCTAGCTATGCATTTCCCTATCTAATCAACAGCAACTACACTTTCCCTCCTCTCACTAAGCATGCAGCTTGAGAATGAATGTAAAATGGATGCCTTCCAGTAGGTGGGAGGGTCTGCTAGGGAGGGTGTGCTGCTAATTGGCTGGAATGTGTCTGCTGACTGTGAGGTACAGGGTCAAAGTTTACTCAATGATGACGAATAGGGGGCGGATCGAACCGCGCATGCGTTCGCCGTCCGCGGCGGACGCGAACACACTATGTTCGCCGGCGAACCGTTCGGTACATCATTACTACAGTGCCTTGTGCCCCAACCTCTTGCCCCCCCACCACCCTCACAACCTGTGACCAGTAAGAGGTTAAAAAAAATAATTTAAATTATTTAAACTCATCCTGCTTGGTCACGCTCCTCCAACGTCAGCAAATGGGGGACCTAATATGCATGAGCAGCGAAGGCTGCGCGTGCATTCGGCCTTCTCAATAGAAAAGCATTAACTTAATATATATTTCTTTGGGGATGTTTTAGATGAGGACATCCAGCATTGTTTCACAGAGTCAAACTCTGTGAAACTGCAGGAAGCGCCTCTACTGGCTGTCTGTCTGAATGTATCTATCAGTCTGTTTAATAACGCAAACCATTTGCAAAGTATAAATAATCTTATTTTCTTCCTTCCTTTCCACATCATAGCGGCCAAGTCTATCAATCAAGGTATGGACACAGTTAACCATTTTTTTTTTCCCAAGTCAAATTCAGTTGGGCGTTTAACAATATAATAAATACTGTGTGTAGAAATACGAGAAACAACTACAATGGAAATAAAATTAGAAGAGGGAGGAGGAGAGACCATGCATGTGGGCCAGGAGAAGATCCAGAAATGCAGTGGTGTGTTTTTTATATGATATAAAATAAGCAGAATGTTTTTTTTTTGTTGAAGGCCATAAATATTATATTAAGATTGACACATGAATATTTGTCTTTGTAATTGATCATACATTTAAACTATTTTGTAGTAGCAACTCCTAATTTTTGGGCATTTTTAGAAAAACAGCATGAGAAACATTGCTCAAGAGTTACATGATAAGAACATGGGCATGCAAGTGGTTTGACGGGTGTGCCCAAGCACCTCAAATACAGAGTCAAATTGTCCTCTCTTCGCCATCTTTATGTTTCTGTGGTCACTTTTGAGAGAGGTTTTTGATGGCTTGATATCTTAAAGGTACACTATAGCTTAATGAGGTTGTTCAGGTGAGAACTATAGCTCCCTACATCCTTTCTCATGTAAACACTGTATTTTCTGAGAAAACACATTGTTTACATTGAAAGCTAGGAACACCTCCAGTTGCAGTCACTCAGGGTGAACCAGAGGGACTTCTGAGTTGATGGAGGCATAATATGCCTCCATCCACTCAGATCTGCTGTGCATGAGCATCTTGTGATTCAGTATTTCCTCCCACTGCATGCAGACACTGAACTTTCCTCATTGAGGTTCATTGATTCAATTCATCTCTATGAGGAGATGCTGATTGGCCAGGGCTGTGTTTGAATCATGCTGGCTCTGCCCCTGATCTGCCTCTTTGTCAGTCTCAGCCAATCCTATGGGGAAGCACTGTGATTGGATCAGGCCATCACATGTCAGCAGACTGCTTTTTTTTCCTGAGTCTAACAGCATGCAGATTTACAGTTTCTGGCTTGAATACAGTAAGATGTTTAACAAGGAGAAAGAAAAGGCTGCGCCAAGATAAAAAAATACTAAAAATATAAAAATACAGTAAAAGATAAGAAAAAAAAGATAAATAGTCCAATGGAATGTCTGAGGTTAGATTGACTTGGTCACTGTATTTGCTGGTAGAGTGTCTTCTATGTTTCTAGTAGTTCAAATCGTCTCGTGATATGGAAGACACAAGGAGAAAGGACCAATCGTGCAGCATGTATAAGATGAATAATAAATAGATTAAAATATAGATGGAACACTCACATTTAAATGAGCTATGGCCAGCTCAGGTGTAACAGGCATACGGCGGAATAACCCCCGCTTATAGGATATGTGGATGCTTGTCCTCCAGAAGATAATGATGTCCAACTCTCAGGAGAAGAGGAGAATAAAAACAGCAAATAGTGCTCTCTGATGATATGACGTAATAGTAAATAAAATAAAATATACTCACAAATGGAGTGCAGACGTCACTGCACTTTAGTAGTAGCATTTGTGGTATAATCCCCACCTCAGGATAGGTATTAAAAAATGAATAAAATGCCAGGGAAATAAAATAGTGTGTAAGAAGGTAACGGCGCAGAAATCTAGCCAAAAATCCTTTATTATATAAAATACACAATATTTAAAACCATTAACGCTTTCACCACTAGGGTTTTATCAAAATGGAATAGTATTAGAACCTGGCAAATCAAGGCGTGTATATAGGTGCATTGGTACTTTAAAAATGGCGCCAAAATAGCATCATTAACCAATCAGAGCAATGCATTGTACATTTAAAATTAAAGTTTACAATTAAGTATAAAATAAAAATAAAAGTATGTGTATAATAAATATCAGATACAACAATCATTTGAGATAGAAATAGATTTAAAACGAACTTTATAACTTTAAATGTGATTTTATAAAAGATATGGCGCGTCACGTGACTCGCACGGCACTGTGGGAAATGTAGTGCGAGTCACGTGATCGGCATCAGCACTATGTGCTGCAATAGGAAGTGGGAGGGGATCTGAGCTACTTAGGGAGTGTATCTATTTATAACGTTATTCTAAATGAATTTTGAATTTAATATATATGTATATTAATATCAAAATACACTTAGAACAAATTTAAACTGGTATATATTTTTTTGAAATTTATATTTATTATTTTTTTTATTTAATTTTTATTTATTGATTATTTTTAATATATATATAAATATATATATATATATATATATATATATATGAACATCATTCTAAGTGTATTTGAATATATATAAATATATATATATATATATATATATACATATATATATAAATATTAAAATACACTTAGAATAATGGTTTATGTATGTGTATGTGCTTATAAAAGTATTTAGATCATATATATATATATATATATATATATATATATATATATATGATCCAAGTACTTTTATTTACTTTATTAAACTTTTTATTAACTTTTAATAACTTTAGCATTAGGGGGATTACCTGAGAGCTCAGGCAGTCCCCCTGCAGGCACTGCATAAGCCGGCTATTCCGGCCATGTGATCGCAAGGACTCCACGATCACATGGCCCAGGAGGACCGGATCGGGTAGAGGGGGTCTGCCTGAGCTCCCAGGGGAATGGTGGGGACCCGGTGAGTATAAAGGACGGCGGGGACGTTCTGTGCCACCCTCCGGCGTTTAGAGCCACTCCAAAAAGGACGGCATAGAATGCCCGCCGTCCTTAAAGGGCTAAGCAATAGGTATGTTTTCTTGGGATAGGGAAAAGAGTGTTTAGAGCATACGGTATTTGAAAGGTTATTTGCAAAGTATACCTCCTCCTTTGATTTCTGTTGTTCGGTCACCCTACTTTGATTGACTGTGGTATTGCAAGTGTTGTTATACAGTGTGCATCACTCAGTGCTTCCCATGCTCCTCCTGCAAGGCATTTCCTTTACACCCACTATAACTGTTCCTGCAGCTCTGCGATCAAGCATAGGAGGCTGACTGGACTACAGAGGACACTGGCCAAGGCTGGCCAAGGCTACTGGTGCTTATCTCCTCCACCAGCTCATTTAAGTGCTTCTCCCACGTGTGTTAGGGGGGACAGTCCCTATTTGGGGCTAAAATTCCTCTGTGCATCTTTTCTATTCTAATGTGCCTCCTTTTTAGGAACTCCATATTATTGGTGTGTTTGAGTGTATAACAGAGCTCAGCAGCTATAATACCCAACATAATGTTTACACTGTGTTTAAACTACAATAAATGTGTTTATACATTAGTCTGTGATCTGTTCTAAACTGTTATTTAGTTGCGAAAGAAATTTATTAGTAAATCACACTTTGTGTATTTGAAATGTTGGGGAGTATGCTTAAGCATCAAAAAGGCACATTGTAAGTGCTGAAAACAGACACCCCCTACAGGAGATGTGCTTGTAGGCAGGTATCTACTCTAACAAAGTGATATTCCCTGGACACAGGATACACAGTCAACTTAAACAGATAATTGATACATCAGTCATGTCATAGCTCTTACTCATTTTTGACCAAATATGAACCACCTAGTATGTTCTAAACAAACACAAAAAAGAAAACTTAATGTGCTAATGCTTCCCTGCAGGTTCTTCGCTCGCACCAGCTGGGACAGGTATGTCTCCTTTATGTGCAAGTATGAAATTCTGATTTTTCTGCCAAATGTAAAAGGATGCACAATTTTACTTTAGCAATGCTGCTTGCAAGGCATTAAAGGGTTACTCCAACCAGCATAAGTGGTTAGTTATTTGAAGTGGTCACGGTGCCTGGAGTCTGTATGTGCAGCATTTTATACTGTTGTTTATCACTGAAAAAGAGAGCAAACAGCAAATCATTCATAGTGACTGATTCCCATACAATATTGACCAGACCAGTTTGGAGTATTGCCTTGTGGTTCACATCTTGGATGCTTTTATGGTTGAGAAATTCTGAAACCAGTCTGAAACACCCCTGGAATGTTGAGTTTAACAGTTTGTGGCGCATAGTTTTATATGAATCCATGACATCAACTGACAACTTGTAATTGTTATTATATTGGATATTCTACTATCTGATTCTGATGGTTTGTTTGATCAATGCTGTAGCTAAGTGTATCATAATACATATCAAATAATCTAAAACCCATTAATTTCAAGCCATGCAGTGAATTAAATCCACCATAGTACAATATAGTATATCGGAAGCTTGATGATAAGTGTCCTATCAGAAATGTGTGTGGGTAGGTGAAACATATGATGTATCTAGAGTATAACAGACTAAGGGCAAAATATACATGTTGCCAATATTGTGAAGTTATGATTTTTGGGATTGGTGCATCTTTAAATTCATACTTTTTTTTAAAGAAAAAAGAGTAAGTAGCATGAAAATGCTCTTATAAAGAAGAGATGGATTATTTGCAGTGTAGATGTTTAGATTATAACACTTTGAGAAGAGCACAGGAGACAAGTCATTGAGTATTGAGTTGTAAAAACAGGGGTCATAAAGGGTAAAGAGCTTAAATGTTATTCTTGAGTAGTAGGCAGTGGCAGGATGTACACATGTCTCAGTAGAAGACAATCAAAGTGCAAATGGATGAGTTAGACAGGAGCCTTGTGTGTGTGTATATATATATATATATATATATATATATATATACATGATATGATATATACAATGATCACGGTCTGTTAAATTATGCTACTGGATGTGGTTTTAGTGTCCCATGTGTTTAGAACAAATCCAGGGCTCAATTTCATGTGAAGAAAGCAATCACTGACAAGTGAAGGGTGGTTGTCCATAGACTTTAAAGATTGTATTACTATTCAGCAGCCAGAGTTCTCCCAAGCCCTTAATATGTAATGATTCCAAAAGTTTTTTTTTTTTTAGTAGTTGGCTTAAAACTGCTTCATGTATATATTTAATTAATGGAATCACCAATATCGAATTCCTATTTGCACATACAGACCCTATGATTCTAGTCAACTGTTAGCAGTTAAGTCTTAGATTAAGAGGTCCTAACTGAGGCTTGAACTCAGTGTGCTAGAAATCAATATGAGGAAGGTAATTTGAAAATTTTCCAAATATTAATGTAATACTTTCTTGATTTTGCAGCATTCAAATCAGCAGTTCTGATCCAGCGCTGGTATCGACGCTACATAGCCCAAATGGAAGTGAGGAGAAGATGCACATGGAGCATATTCCAATCTATAGAGTACACGGGGGAGCAGGACCAAATCAAAGTAATGTGCTCTTCTGTAGGACACAATACATAAGCTATACATAGAACTGCAGCAAACTATTACCATAATGTCTCGAGTCCTTTTGCACTTTCTCTTGTTTCAGTGTTAAACCATTTTCGAGCAATCTAACACTGAACGAGGGTCCCTGCCCACAGCCCAGTCCCAATGGCCAAAACAGAAATTACATACTTCCTTCTAGTCATACTAATTTATACCAGCAATGGGCATAGTGATAGGCTGAAAAAGGTCAGCTGACACTCTCAGCCAATCAGAGCCACTCATTGTTGATCAAGATAATGCTACCTCGTTAGCCCAAGCAGCACAGAGGAGATGGGCTTCGGGGGATTCTTGTTCATCATTAAAACATTAAAAACATTAAATGATGAAAGTAAGGATGGTTCCAATGAACTACAGACATTATAACCACTTCAATGAGTTGAAGCAGCTGCAGTGCCTACTGTGTCTCTTTATGAAGCTGCCATTGTCATAGAATACCAAAAGTATAATTTTTTTTTTTTTTGTAAATAAAGCTTTTATTAGCAGTTCAAACAATAACAGATAGCAGAGCTTATATCGTCAGTGAGACTCGCAGGTCTCCAATTGCGTCTGACACAGGTACCGCCAACTCTAGATGAACCTTTATAAAACGTTATCGGAAGCGGATGACCGCTGGCCCACATCAGTGAGGGCCGTACAATTCTATAGCTGAACCTCAATCAAATGGTGAGTGGTGCGGTAGGTCCCAGGTCACGTCCTCGTACATGGGGAGTGAGAAAGGGGTCGGTTTGCGGGATCAGGTCCTATAGTCGTGCACCTGGTCTGGGGCTCCCTTTCCTGTTGTCTTTTCCTTAACTTTGGTGGTGCCTAGATATGTTGCGGGTTCTCTCCTGGGTCAGCTACCCTCTCTCCCCGGGTCTGCGTCCCCTCCCCCGCCGCGAGGCGGGCCATCATGGCGGGGGGGGGGGGAGCGCCCAGCGGCCTGGCCAGCTGTCTCTGTCGCATTGCTTACTTGTGGTCGGTCATCGTTATCATGCTTCAGTCGCTGTCCACGTGTGGTATCTATGGTGTGTCTGGAGTGTTTCCCCCTTCGGATGGGGATGGTGTGATGTCTCAGTGCTCAGTTGTATCAGTCATCCAGAGTTGGCTTGTGTTTGCTGTTTATTGTGGGAGTTCCCACGTCATGGGAGAATACCAAAAGTATAATTGCCAATCCTACTAAAGCACAAGCTCAAAAATAAAAGTTTAATATAATAAAATAAATAATATAATACAGTATAGAAGAGGTGGCAAAGTCTAGAAGCCAGTGACAGATCTGGGTGGAAGTATCCAGGCAATTTCCACCCTGCAATGATTGAGTTGTAACTAGGTACCATGTTTTCCTTCTGTTTGTGATCTGGCCTGAGCTATAATATGCAAAGGATCAATCTCTACTTCCCCTGCCAGAACTGACCAATTGTAAATTATAGGGATGTTCACTTAGAAGCACCTGGAGAAATGATATTTTAAGTCCACTGCCCCTTCAGCAGGTCCTCAAACATTTTTGTGTGACAAAGCTGGGCTGTGTAAGCATACAAACATGAGCAATTTCCAACTGTGAGTGGAACAGAACCACCAGAGTAAAGTACATAACAGAAGAAAGAAAGAGGTAAAGCTGAGGGAGAAAAAGATATGTATGGAGGTACAGGAGAGAGAGATAGGGATAAAGAGAGGCAGATTGAGTTGGGGTGGTGTAGATGAATAGATCTGGGAGCAGGGAGCTTGTATGAGAAGGATTGGGCTGGGGAGAAAGAGTGAGACAGATGAAAGAGACTTAGGGCTGTGGAGAGAAAGAATCAGCACTCGGGAGAGAGGGAGACAGAGAGATGGGGCTTGGTAAGAAGATTCAGACAAAGAAATGGCGTTCAGGGTAGAGAGAGAAAAGGATTAGAGATGAGAAGAAGCAAAGAGAGAGTGATAGAATGGAGACAGATACATGGATGGAGAGGGAGATATGGAGATTAGAAGGATAGGTAGAGAGGTGGGGTTGTTTTGCAGGTTCAGTCACAGTGCTGTAAGTGTGGACTCCAGCACCTACTGGATTCACACTAATGTTCAATGTGTATTGCAGAAACAAATGACAATAAAAATCTGTGTATGAGTATCACTTAGCTACACTGCTATTAAACAATCATATGTGGGGCGCTGGCGGTTCAGACCCTGAAGTTTCTCTGTTATAAATGTGTTTACAATCCTGAATGCAATGGCATTTCGCAACATGATTACACCGACACTACAAGTTTCTTACATAGAAACATAGAATGTGACGGCAGATAAGAACCATTCGGCCCATCTAGTCTGCCCAATTTTCTAAATACTTTCATTAGTCCCTAGTCTTATCTTATAGTTAGGATAGCCTTATGCCTATCCCACGCATGCTTAAACTCCTTTACTGTGTTAACCTCTACCACTTCAGCTGGAAGGCTATTCCATGCATCCACTACCCTCTCAGTAAAGTAATACTTCCTGATATTATTTTTAAACCTTTGTCCCTCTAATTTAAGACTATGTCCTCTTGTTGTAGTAGTTTTTCTTCTTTTAAATATAGTCTCCTCCTTTACTGTGTTGATTCCCTTTATATATTTAAATGTTTCTATCATATCCCCCCTGTCTCGTCTTTCCTCCAAGCTATACATGTTAAGATCCTTTAACCTTTCCTGGTAAGTTTTATCCCGCAATCCATGAACCAGTTTAGTAGCCCTTCTCTGAACCCTCTCTAAGGTATCAATATCCTTCTGAAGATACGGTCTCCAGTACTGTGTACAATACTCCAAGTGAGGTCTCACCAGTGTTCTGTACAATGGCATGAGCACTTCCCTCTTTCTACTGCTAATACCTCTCCCTATACAACCAAGCATTCTGCTAGCATTTCCTGCTGCTCTATTACATTGTCTGCCTACCTTTAAGTCATCAGAAATAATCACCCCTAAATCCCTTTCCTCATATGTTGAGGTTAGGACTCTATCAAATATTCTGTACTCTGCCCTTGGGTTTTTACGTCCAAGATGCATTATCTTGCACTTATCCACATTAAATGTCAGTTGCCACAATTCTGACCATTTTTCTAGTTTACCTAAATCATTTGTCATTTGGCTTATCCCTCCTGGAACATCAACCCTGTTACATATCTTAGTATCATCAGCAAAAAGACATACCTTACCATCAAGACCTTCTGCAATATCACTAATAAAAATATTAAAGAGAATGGGTCCAAGTACAGATCCCTGAGGTACCCCACTGGTGACAAGTCCAAGCTTCGAATATATTCCATTAACTACAACCCTCTGTTGCCTGTCACTCAGCCACTGCCTTACCCATTCAACAATATTTGAATCCAAACTTAAAGATTGCAGTTTATTGATAAGCCTTCTATGTGCAACAGTGTCAAAAGCCTTACTGAAATCTAGGTAAGCAATGTCTACTGCACCACCCTGATCTATAATTTTAGTTACCCAATCAAAAAAATCAATAAGATTAGTTTGGCATGATCTCCCTGAAGTAAACCCATGTTGTCTCTGATCTTGAAATCCATGTGTTTTTAGATGTTCAACAATCCTATCCTTTAACATGGTTTCCATCACTTTCCCCACTACTGAAGTAAGGCTTACTGGCCTATAGTTGCCCGACTCCTCCCTATTACCTTTCTTGTAAATGGGCACAACATTCGCTAACTTCCAATCTTCTGGGACTACTCCTGTTAACAATGATTGGTTAAATAAATCTGTTAATGGTTTTGCTAGTACACCACTAAGCTCTTTTAATAGCTTTGGGTGTATTCCATCAGGTCCCATTGACTTATTTGTCTTTACTTTTGACAGTTGAAATAGAACCTCTTCCTCTGTAAACTCACGTGTAATAAATGACTAATTTATCCTTTTTCTCAACTGAGGTCCCTTTCCTTCATTTTCATCTGTAAATACAGAACAAAAATATTCATTGAGGCAGTCAGCTAGACCTTTATCCTCTTCTACATACCTTCCTTCTTTTGTTTTTAATCTAACTAATCCTTGTTTTACTTTTCTTTTCTCATTTATGTATCTAAAAATGTTTTATCCCCCTTTTTTACTGACTGTGCTATTTTCTCTTCTGTGTGTGATTTGGAAGCTCTTATAACTTGCTTAGCCTCTTTCTGCTTAATCTTATAGATCATTTTGTCTTCCTCACTCTGGGTTTTTTTATAATTCCTAAATGCTAACTTTTTGTTTTTAACTATTTTGGCCACATCTGCGGAGTACCACAGTGGTTTCTTGAATTTTTTGCTTTTACTGACAAGCCTAATGCAATTTTCTGTTGCCTTCAATAGTGCAACTTTTAAATAATCCCATTTTTCTTGGACTCCATTTAAATTGCTCCAGTCTGATAATGACTCCTCTACCCATATTCTAATTTTAGAAAAGTCTGTTTTTCTAAAGTCTAAAACTTTTGTTTTTGTGTGGTGTGACTCAGTCACTGTTCTTATATTAAACCACACTGACTGATGATCACTGGATCCTAAACTTTCACCTACAGTAACATCTGATACCAAATCTCCATTTGTTAACACTAAATCTAGTATGGCCTCTTTACGAGTTGGCTCCTCAACAACTTGTTTTAGAGACAATCCCAGTAGGGAGTTTAGAATATGTGTGCTCCTGGCACAAGTAGCTAATTTTGTTTTCCAATTTACATCAGGAAGATTAAAGTCACCCATGATGATAACTTCCCCTTCATTGTCATTTTAGCTATTTCCTCAACTAGTAGATTATCTAACTCTTCAATTTGTCCTGGGGGCCTATAAATCACACCTACACGAGTTACTGTGTGATTACCAAATTCTAACGTAGCCCAAACGGACTCTATGTTTGCCTCACTAACTTTTATTAGGCTAGATTTTATGCTATCCTTCACATACAAGGCCACCCCTCCCCCTTTCTTGCCTTCCCTATCTTTCCTATATAAAGAGTACCCTGGTATTGCTATGTCCCAGTCATTTTTCTCATTGTACCATGTCTCAGTAACAGCGACTAAATCTACACTATCAGTTGCCATTATTGCCACAAGTTCATGGATCTTATTCCCTAAACTGCGAGCATTTGTAGACATGACTCTAAGCTTATCATTTTTTAACACACTTGCTACAGGCACTTTCTGTCCTTCTTTTGGGGGACAATTGGATTGATGTTTTATCACCCTTTTGCCCCCCTCCTAGTTTAAATACATCCTAGCAAAACCTCTGAACTGCTCACTGAGAACATTTGTTCCCTTTTGAGAAAGATGCAAACCATCTTTTTTGTACAGCTTATCTTCATTCCAAACAGAACTACCATGAGAAATAAAGCCAAATCCTTGCTCCCGACACCATTCACCAAGCAACAAATTAAAGTCCCTAATACGCATCCGCCTGTCGTTCTGAGTGTTATGCACAGGCAGAACTTCAGAGAATGACAATGTGGAAGCAACCTGCCGTATATCATTGGCAAAAACACTAAAAACTTCCTTAACCTCTGAAACCTCATTGCAAGCCAAGTCATTTGTCCCTAGATGGACAAGTACATCCAATTCCCCTTCCTGCTTTGCTTGCTTAACAATATTACAGATACGTCTCCTGTCTCTGTGAGCAGTAGCTCCGGGAAGACACCTCACAAGACCACCATTGTCCATCTCCACACCTCTTATAATGGAATCCCCCAACAACAACTGCTTTCTATTAGGCCTCACCATAGCCTCAGTGCCTCTCTCCACAACACCACTAGCCTCAGTGCCTCTCTCCACAACACCACTAGCCTCAGTGCCTCTGTCCACAACACCATTACACTCTGAAAGTGCAGAAAATGAATTATGAAGAGCAACAGACTGTGCAAAATGCCTTTTATCCACAACTCTAAGTCTACCATATCACTAATTTATATTAGGATCCCCACATCCAAATAATCAACTTAAAAATTACATTCATGTTACTGTACATGTTACTTTTAAAAGCTCTGATTTTGCATGTTAAGTAGCGCAATATTTGTTGAAATGTATACTCCAGCACTTGTTGTTGTTGTTTGATATTAGAGTGCTATATAGCTCAAAGTGCATTTAAGATCTTGTTCTGGAGAATTCCAGAGAAGAAAAAGCCCTATAAATGCTGGATATTATCACATATACTATTATGAGGCCCCTTAAATTCCCACTCAATAGTCCAAGGAAGCATAGAAATTCCCCCCTTGTGCATGTCCCATGGACCCTCCAGACATGAGTGAAGTGCAACTTTTAAGGCCTGACTAGTAGCATAGGATTTTACATTTTAAGGACTCCGTTTTTTTACTTTATTATATTACAAGAGCCTTGACCTTCCCTGCCAGGTTTTTAGGTAAGTATTTGACCCACTGTCCTCTTGTCACCCTGAAATTTATATCACGAACAACCTGTTGTCTAGGAAGCACCACAATGATCTTCTCGTCCTAGCACTTAGCAGTTTGCTTACAAATAAGCCTCATTAATTCCTGGTTGACCCAGATTTTCAGGTATGATTCAGAGGCTTTTAATCTTGTCAACATTCTCTCTGTGAAAACATGCTCTGCTAAATTATCTGGTGGTACTGCCCAGAATTTCTATGGGAAAACATTGTCTGCTAATAGAGCCACTTGTAGATAACAGTATGACTGGTCACAGCTATATGTAAGGGATGCCAATATGTAATCACAGTTAAGATGGTACACACTAATTTCTACAGATAGTAAACAGATTACAGTACTAAGGAGCAGGTGTATTTTTGTGTGTAGAGTTAGTGTTTCTTTTTAATTTTATCATTTTAATACACGGATGTGTTTGTATGGAATGTTAGCATTTGCATGCAGAGGTGAATTTGGATGTAGTGCTTGATTTTAAATGTGGATGTACATTTGTGCTAGTATTGGTTTTTCAGTGTTTGTATATAATTTTGGTGTTAGAGTTCAGAGGTGTCCTTTTATGTAATGTTTGTGTTTGCAGGAGTGTGTGTTGTGTTGGTGTTTGATTGCTGGGATGTCTGTACATGTCATGTCACACACATACTTAATAACAAACAGAAACACACACTAAAAAAAAAAAGATACACACCTGCACTTGACACACAGATACACAAACTGGAAAATACAGATACACACCAGCACATACTCAACTTGACACACTAGCACACACACAGACATACACACACTGACAGATACACACATTGGTACACATATACACACTGTGTGTCAAGGTGTGTGTATCTGTGTGTGTGTATGGATTTGTGGGTTAAGGACTTAAGGAGTGTGGATCTGTGTGTCAGTGTGTGTATCTGTGTGCCTGTGTGTATCTACCAGTGTGTAAATCTGTGTGTGTGCCAGTGTGTATCTGAGTGTCAAGTTGTGAATATCTGTGTGTATGCGCCGGTGTGTTTCTGTGTTTGTATGTGTCAGTGTGTGTATCTGTGTGTGTGTATGTATCTGACACACAGATATACACACAGGCACATAGTAGCACACAGATACACACACTGACAGAAACATTGACACACATACACACACTGACACATACACACACTGACACACAGATACACACTAGCACATACACACACAGACACAGATACACACACATATGTTTAAATTTGCTGTTCACTTACCTTTTTGTTCTGCAGGAGGGTCTTCAGTGCTGCTGGCTCACTTCCTCCCAGCATCCCATACAACAGGGATGCGGTCGCGCTATTAGATGGCCATGGCGCCTGACCGGACCCCTCATCGGGTGGCCCTAAATGCTTGGGCCACCCGGTTGGCAAATGTTCACGGAACACTAGTTGGGAAATGCTGGTGTAGAGACACATTGATTGCATCCATAGATTAGAAGCAATTGGTGAGTTCAGCATATCCATAGATAAGTGTCATTGTGAAACTACTTGTTTGTTTACAACATAGATTTATGTATACATTTCTTTATTGTGTTTATTCTACTGGATCATAGTCCAGGTATTTACTAAACTTTTTTCTTTTCTTTTTTTTTATATTGCTATCCTAAGCATTTAAAAAACAAACAAAAAATAATAAAACATAAAAATAATAGTATTTAGATACAAGCAGCAAACAATGGACACCAGACAAAACAGAATGTGTTTCAGATTAAATCAGAGTGGATAAGGAAGAACTCTGCAGTTATTCTACCCAGAGTGGGGCCTGCTATAGAGGCTGGTATGCCTTCTTTATGTGAGATATGCCCACTTCCAGGGAGTACGTGGGTATACAGAGAGAAGTATATATAATAAAACACAAAGCAAATAACACGAGTCTGCATGTAAACTTATATTTACATGATAAAATAAAATACATGATTTCTGCTTGTTTTATCAATCAAAAGGCAACAGGGATAAATAACTGTCATCTTGATGCATATAGAAATGTTGTGCAAAATGAGCTTATTACAGTTAAAGACAAATTCTGATTTCCCTTAAGGATTCTATCCCAGTGAGTATTCCGTTAGCCAGGGATTAAATGCATCCATTTATTTTAAACCAAAAATTACTTTATGGAAAGAGTATTTAATGTAATACATTTTCAAGCAAATAAAGTTACAGCACAAAGGTTGTATATTTTTAAGAATAAAACAATTTAACTTTTCTATTTTTTTTTTTCATCTTCACAGCTTTATGATTTTTTCAACTTTCTCATGGACCATTTCACCTCCGACAACAGTAAGGAGAGTAAGTCACTCTTTATTTGAAAGATGTCAATGGAACATGAGATGATATAAATATATCTTTATTTTAACATCTATATTTTGCTATAGAAAAAAATCAAATAAATCTTACACAAACAATAGAAATTGTGGACAGTTTTCCTCAAATTTCTCTAGGTTTAATGTGCGTAAAGTAGTATGGAATGAAATAAAATGGATAGTATAGCAAAATGTAGAATAATCAAGGCTCAAAACTTCACCTAGATTGAAAATTTATCTCTGGAGAGTAAAAATTGACTCTTTGATGGTATGCAATGGCGAACAGTGGCGAGTAGATTTCAGGGCCTGGCTAGTAGCATATCACTACAAATTATTAGCCCTGGACCATAGTTAAAGTGGTTGAGAAACATAACAAAGAGAACATGACAAAGTGGTTGAGGAACATGACAAAGTTGCCTCGGCGTCCAAATTCCCCGGAACTCAATTCTATTGAGCTGGAACAAGAAATGTAATCGATGAAGTTACCCACCTTGCAACTTGCATGACTTAAAGGGTCTGCTGTTCATGTCTTGGTGCCAGATACCACAGGACATGTTCAGAGGTACTGTGGAGTCCATGCCTTGACACATCAGAGCTGTTTTGGCAACACAGGGGAATCAGACCTACACAATATAAGGCAGGAGGTATTAATGTTGTGGCTAGGTCTGTACAAGTCATTTCAATCCTAAATGGCAGAGAATTGAGCAGCAACGTAGAAGGGGCATGATGCATACACCAAACTATATAAAGTAACTTTGAACAATGACCTAAAACAAAGCCACACTCTTTGGCTTTTATAATTTTGTGATATTGTTAATGTTGCTCTTTTAAGGCATTTAAGTCATTGCCCTTTTAATTTATTATTGGTTGTGCTCTTATATTAGCTGTTCTGTTAGGAAGCACTACAGTATTTTACTTTTGAGTTTTATTTTAAGAATAATATTCTGTGAATTTGTATTATTGGTTGTGCCCTTATATTAACAATTTACCCGCACTTCTCGTTAAGAACATGTTTGTCTATTTCCATTTTTGTAAGGAGATTTCATCTGTCGCATGTTCTCTGATGAGGACAATATCAAAGATACTGAACTGGAAAAATATTGTGAATATGAATCAATTGAAGTGCCAGAGGTGTACACAGGTCCTCATATCACCTTCCCCCTGAAGCCTACACATGCAGCAGCCTTAGTGGAAGCCTTTAAACAGAAACAAGTAAGTATTATATCACATGATAAAGTACTCATTCACGTGAGTCTTGGTTAAGTGCAGAGGCTTCAGAAAAGCATTGGGCTTAAGCTCAAACCAAAACACTACCCTATACTAACAAAAACAGGGGTGGGAGCCGGGGGGGGGGGGGCAATAGGTCCCCCCTTTAATTTAAAAGCCCCCACTCGCGCGTCATAGGTGGGAGCTCAGGAGGGGGGACCTTTTTTTTTTTTTTTTTAACAGTGAGCAGTAACATATTAATTATTGGAGATTTTAATTACCCAGACATAAATTGGGATAGAGGGACTAGTACTTCAGCAAGGGGAATCAGGTTTTTGAATGACACCTTTATGTTACAAATGGTACAAGCACCAACTAGAAAGGATGCTTGTCTGGATCTCGTCATAACAAACAATGTTGATCTTTTAACCAACAACAGCATTTGGGAAATAGTGATCACAATATGGTAAATTTTGAAATAAACTCAAAAAAGCAAAAGCAAGTGGGGTATACTAAAACATATAATTTAAAAAAAGCCAATTTCAATAAGATTAGGGAAGCTCTACAACATATCGACTGGCATAAACTCCTTAGTGATAAAAACACTGAGGATAAATGGAAACTATTCAAACAAATATTAGAAAGGTACATTTCTCAGTATGTACCATTGCGTAATAGATATAAAAGAAACAAATTAAAACCAATGTGGCTTAGTAGAGAAGTAAAACAAGAGATTACAAATAAAAAAAGGGCATTTAAAGCATTTAAATCAGTCAAATCAAAGGCATCCTATTTAAGATATAAGGAAGCCAATAACGCTTGCAAAAAGGCAATTAAAGTGGCTAAACTAGAAAATGAGACATTAATAGCTAAAGAATGCAAAACCAAACCCCAAAATGTTTTCAAGTACATCAATTCTAACAAAAAAAATGAAAGTGTAGGTACACTAGAAACAGAGTTGGGTTTATTAGCTAATGAAGACCAGGAAAAAGCAGAAATTTTAAATAACTATTTTTCTTCAGTATATATTAATGAGGATCCTATGGCAAGAGATATGCAAATGATTGCTGCAAAAAACTTGCAAATAACTTGTGATTGGACAACTCGAGACAAGGTGCTACAGCTACTAAAGAAAATGAATGTAAATAAAACTCCGGGACCTGACTGTATTCACCCACGGATACTTAAGGAGCTAAGTGGGGAAATAAGTGAACCTCTGTATTTAATTTTTCAAGATTATTTTGTTTCAGGTGTTGTACTGGAGGATTGGAGGAAGGCAGATGTTGTTCCTATATTTAAAAAGGGTTCAAAATCCTTGCCTGGAAATTATAGACCTGTGAGCTTAACTTCTGTAACTGGGAAAATATTTGAAGGGCTATTAAGGGATAATATTCAGGAATTCATTGGGAAGAACTTTGTTATTAGCATGGTTTTATGAAACATAGGTCATGTCAAACTATCCTAATTGCATTCTACGAAGAAGTAAGTAGAAGTATAGATCAGGGTGTTGCAGTGGATGTGATCTACTTGGATTTTGCCAAGGTATTTGACACGGTTCCTCACAATAGGTTAGTCTTCAAACTAAAAGAAATTGGTCTAGATGAATATTCTTGTTCTTGGGTAGAACATTGGCTTAAGGATAGAGTACAACGAGTTGTAATTAATGGTAAATTTTCAGGCTGGACAAAAGTGGTAAGTGGTGTCTCTCAGGGTTCTGTTTTGGGACCACTTCTATTTCACATATTTATAAATGATCTTGAAATAGGCATTGAAAGCCATGTATCAGTGTTTGCAGATGACACAAAACTTTGTAAAGTAATAAAATGTGAGCAGGATATTGCTTTGCTGCAGAGGAATTTGGATAGATTGGGGGACTGGGCACTAAAATGGCAAATGAAATTTAACGTAGAGAAATGCAAAGTTATGCACTTTGGTGTTAAGAATGCACAAGCAACTTACACACTAAATGGTAGTGAATTAGGGATAACCACACATGAGAAGGATTTGGGAATTGTTATAGACAACAAATTAGGCAGCAATATGCAATGTCAATCTGCAGTTGCTAAGGCCAGTAAGGTTTTGTCATGTATAAATAGGGGCATAAATTCTCGGGATGAAAATATAATTTTGCCTCTTATAAATCGCTGGTAAGACCACACCTTGAATATGCTGTGCAATTTTGGGCGCCTGTTCTAAAGAAAGATATCATGGCACTAGAAAAAGTCCAGAGAAGAGCTACAAAATTGATAAAAGGAATGGAGCATTTTAGTTATGAAGAAAGGTTAAAAAATTAAATCTGTTTAGTTTGGAAAAACGGCGCCTGAGAGGGGATATGATAACTTTATACAAATATATTCGGGGCCAGTACAAACCTTTATCTGGAAATCTATTCATAAACAGGGCTATACATAGGACACAAGGTCACACATTTAGGCTGGAAGAAAGGAGATTTCATCTAAGGCAAGGAAAGGTTTTTTTTTACAGTAAGAGCAATAAGGAATTCTCTGCCTGAAGAGGTGGTTTTGTCAGAGTCACTACAGATGTTTAAACTGCAATTGGATAAATACTTACAAAAACATAACATACAGGGATATAATTTCGAATTAGTGGGGTAATAGCTGCTTGATCCAAGGAGACATCTGACTGCTATTTTGGGGTCAAGAAGGAATTTTTTCCTAGTTTGTGGAAAAATTGGAAGCGCTTCAGACTAGGTTTTTTGCCTTCTTTTGGATCAACAGCAACAACATATGTGAGGAAGGCTGAACTTGATGGACGCAAGTCTCTTTTCAGCTATGTATCTATGTAACTATATTTAATAGACATGCCCCTACTCGCGATATAGCGAGTAGGGGCATAATTTACTAATACTAAGTAATCTGACTGGCTTAGTAACTTACATTTTATATGAATGTATGTTACTTGATTGTTGTGTTGCAAATGCTTACAGCTGAATCCTGGCTATGTTCGTATACTTTTTATTTAAAATTGTATACAGTGTAACATTCTTCATTCTTCCACTGGGTAAGTATATTAGTTCTTAGGCAATACAGTGCTTCGGCACTTCGACACTTGGGAACTTCGGCAACTTCGGAAATTCGGCAATTCATCTATTCGGACATTCGGAAGTACCTGAATGTCCGAATTGCCCGAAATTCCTCTGAATTCACATCGGACCGAAACGAATTGCACATGTCTAATATTATTTATGTTGGTATTGTGGCAGAATTCACACATGTAGCAAGTAGATTCATACAAAGCATAAATACTACACAGGCCATTGCAAGTTGCTACAGCAGTCTTCAAATAATCCTTGTAATCTTACAAAAGTAGCTTTTCATTATGGAAGGTGGGGTGTTTCATTGTCCTTCTCTGACTGGTATAGTAGAGGCACATTTTACAAGAGCAGCCATGCAATATAGGAGATGAGTTGAACCATTTATAGTCCTTCTGCAAAGAATTTCTTTCTAGGCTAAATTTTGTTTTTGATAGCTATATGTTAGGAGAGGGCTGATGTATTACAATTCTTTATCTAATTAATATATATTACAGTGATTGCTTTTCAATTACAATTTTGTTTTTAAAAATGATCTAAATCATTTCAAAACAGTGAAAAATATTGCCTGTTCCATTTATATTTATTTTTTGTACTTTTGGTGATTCAAATTTTATTAAAATTTTTTTGGCAGCCTTCTCTTTAATAATATTTCTTTATGTGTACTTACCTATTGAGATCTGACATTTAGCAGAACCATACACTTTTATAATTCTCCCCTTGCACAATTTTACAATATTTATTATGGTAATTAAAAATGTGTTGGATTCCACCTTATATAGCTTTAGTAAAGTAACATAAGTTGTGATGTTTAAATTCAAATTTATAGATGATATTCTGAGCCCATGATGGCCAGTCGCTGTGGAAAGCACTGTTTTGTCCTACGAAAACACCCATTCTCTTAGTAAATAACCTATGTTGTATCATGGTGGTGCTTTATCCTCTGACTCTGCCACTGTTTCTCCTAGTAGCAGCTCCACTCTCGCTATGTCCTACATCTTCTTCATGAGACAAAGAAACATCTAAAACAGCTACCAAACATAAAGCGTGTATCCACCAGTTACAGCAAAGAGATCACCATCTGTGGTAAGGACGTGTTTCTGGCTGCCATTAGATTCTTTTTGCAGTGACTCTTAACGTTATTGTCAGGGATCCAAATTACTGAGATGGCATTCACTTGGTAACCCCCTTTTCCAGTTATTGAATTAGCTCAGTGAACCATTCTTCCACTGTGATACAATTGCCTATGATTGCCATTCTGGTTCTATTGTTTGCAATCCAAAGGATCCCGTTTTTGTGTTTGGCTGATACAGCCATTGTTTCATTTTACATGCAATTTTCTCAGGTTTAGTAAACAGACAAAGTGTGCCAAGACAACCTGTCTAATAGTCCATTTATATACAGTATTGGCGTTTGTCCATGTGGTTAGAAATCTCGGCAAACTTGCTTTATGTTTGCTAAATGCTTGTTTAGTAATTTAACTGACTTTATCAGGATTTTAAGGTACTTAAAGGAACAACGGAACACTACAGTGTTAGGACTTCAAACATGTATTCCTAATACTATAGTGCTAGACTACATATTTAAGTGACTGCCCCCCTCAAAATGGAGTTAAAAAGTATTTATCTTGCTTTTTCTCCATCGCCGTACTGGTCTTGTCGTAGCCCCGCCTCCACAGAAAAGCATTGGAAGGCTATTACGCGAAAAAGCGCCACGCTGCACTAATCAGCATCTCTCATAGAGATGCATTGAATCAATGCATCTCTATGGGGAGCGTTCATCATGTCCATGCAGAGGACATGCTGAACGCCAGTGATGCACATTGTGCAGAACTGACATAGGAAGCACATATATTGGCCATCTGAGTGACTGATATATATATATATATATATATATATATATACTCTGAAAAGACAGCGTTTATATTGCTGAGTCTGCAGAGACATGCTATAGATATCAGAACCACTACATTAAGCGATATGACTATAGTGTCCCTTGAATACAATTTCGTCTAATTTATGTTTTACTGCTATGAAAATACTGCTTTCTAAATCCAGCTTAGGAAACACATTACTTTATTGAATAAATTATATACTTTGCTTCTTCTTTAAGGTGATTTACATGGTAGATTGGATGACCTGTTTCTGATTTTTTACAAGGTATGTGTTATATATTTTGTATTTTTTTTTTTATTGACCCATTATTTGCAGTAAAAAGAGTAAGTCTTAGCTACCATAGAACAAGCGGAAAAATTAGGGATTATTCTAGTTTACAGTGAACGAATAATCTAAATTTTATTAAAGACAGGAGGCGAATATTTGCTTATCTTTCTTTACTGAAACTCCCAGCAGCAAAGAAATAGTTAATAAAGTTGTAAGAAATTCAACCAATCATAACACAACATAGAGCAATATAGTGCCAGCAGACTCCTCCCACTTCCTCTTTCTTAGGTGGTGCCAATCAGGATAGTAGAAATAACTTGTAAACTGGAAACATTCTGCGGTTTAGTCCGTAGCAAGTCAACCATGTAAACGGTTAGATGAAGAGGGTAATCCGAAGTTTTCATACTAGAAGAGAAGAAAAGAGACTTTGTGAAAGTATGGTCTCTTGAAGAAGAGAAAAGGTACAAATACACATTCTAAAACGATAGTCCAGAGTATCCTGACTGATTTAAGCACATAATGGTACAATATGGAGCAGGTATGCTATGCCACCAGATCAGTGTTAATTGTATGCCTACCAAACAAACTGTAAGGAATGTACAAGTTTGCCCTCCCTGTTTAGTAAGTGTATGCGTACAAATCAATTTGCAAGGGAGTGTAAAATGCAAAAATCTCAGAGTGAGAACTTACCTGTAGGGTGGGTTCCAGAGTGAACAAAGGGAGGGAAAATATTCGCCTCCTGTCTTTAATAAAATTTAGATTATTCGTTCACTGTAAACTAGAATAATCCCTAATTTTATGGCAAGACAGGAGGCTTCATATTTGCTGTTTTAACGCTCTTGAATAAAGGAACAAGCCGCATGTGGTGTTGGTTTAAAATAAAAGGTGCGAAAAGTAGATTCTCTTGACCAATCTGCGGAGGCTAAAATATCCGCCAGTGAGCTGCCTGCGCGGAACGCGGAGGATGCGGCCGCTCCCCTAATGGAGTGAGCTCCGAAAGAGCTATCAATTCCTGCTTGGGTAAGCAACCATCTCACCCAGCGTGCAATGGTGGGGGAGGAGAACGGTTTGTGAGGTTTAACCTAAGAGACAAACAGAGGTCCGGTAGGGGGACGCAAAGAGATAGTGTTGTCAATGTAACACAGGGCCACACAGAGTGACGGACTATCAGGAAAGTATGGATAAAAGACTGACGAAGAATTCGTCTTAGTGCGTCTAGTAATGGTAAATCTGACACCGTCTGGTGCAAAGGTGACAGCGTGAGAGTCAAAAGCGTGAACGTCTGAAACTCTGCAGAAGGACACCAGACACAGTAGCAAGGCCAATTTCGCAGAGAGTTGGCGTAAGGACAAGGCCTTGTTAGGTGGCCAGGAATCCAACAGTGTGAAAACCTGAGAGACATCCCAGAACGTAGAGTGTTTGGCAGAAGGTGGCCTCGTCAAACGAATGCCCCGTAAAAGTCTGCACACGGAAGGGTGTTTCCCAACCAAGAAATTGTCAATAGTGTCATGGGCCGCCGAAATGGCGGAACGAAAAATATTAATCGATCGGTAAGATTTACCCTGATCGAAGAGAGATGATAAGAAGTTTAAAATGGGAGAGAGAGGTGTTGAAACAGGATCGAGGTCCCTCTCCAGACACCAGCTAACCCAACTCCGCCAAGCGGAGAGGTAGGTTTGTCTGGTTCCTGGACCCCACCAGTCCCAGAGGAGTGTTTGAGCTGTGCATGAAAGACCTGTGACATGCCAAGCTCCCCTGAAACTGTCCAAGCTACCAGTTGAAGATGGCCCTGTAGGGCAAGAGGATGGTAATCGCCCATTGGGTTCCTGAGGACTCGAAAGGAGCGAGGAAGAAGTCTACTGTTCGAGGAGGGTAGGGAACCAGGTCTGGGCCCTCCATAGAGGGGTGATTATTACTACCCTGACTTTCTGCTCTTTGACCCGGTGAAGGGTCCGTTGAATCATCGAGAAGGGAGGGAAAGCATAGGCTCCCTCCCGTGGCCAAGGTTGCAGAAAAGCGTCAACTGAAAGAGATAGAGGGTCTGGTAGCCAGCTGAAGAAATCGTCTGTCTGACGATTCAGGCGAGATGCAAAGAGGTCGAGTGTGAGAGGTCCCCGTAGGAAGTGGATGTGATGGAACAGGAGAGGGTCTAATTGCCAGACGCTGGCATCCCTCCAATGACGCGAAAACCAGTCCGCGACTAGGTTGTCGGACCCAGGGAGATACTCCGCTCGGATGGACAGATTTCGGTCCAGACAGAACTGGTACAGGTCCTTGGTGAGGTCGGACAGAAGTTTGGATTTGGATCCTCCGAGTCGGTTGACATACCGCACTGCGGAGACATTGTCCATCCGTAGTACCAGGGAGCAATTGGAGGCGTCCTTGGCAAAGCTGCGGATCGCGAAGGATCCAGCAATGAGCTTGAGACAATTTATGTGGAGAGCCTGTTCCGATGGGGACCACAGACCTCCTGTGGAGGTTTGGGCACACGTAGCACCCCAACCCAAGAGGCTCGCATCGGATTCCAGAATAAAATCTGGTTGAGACCCGAAAATCGCTTTCCCATTCCAGGCTTCCATGTTGCGAAGCCACCAATGAAGTTCGATGATAACTTCGTCCATCAGAGAAATGAATTGATCGTAAGAGGTTGAGCGATGCAAGTAGGTTGTTTTCAACCGTTGCATCGCTCTGTAGTGTAAAGGCCCGGGAAATATAGCTTGAATTGATGCGGACAGGAGACCCAGAATGTGTGCAAGGTCGCGGAGCCGAGGCTGTTGCGAAGAAAGCAACTTTTGGATTTCTTTCTTTATGTTTTTTATTTTGGGGTAAGGCAGCTGCAAAGTTGCCTGGACTGAGTCTATTTGAAAGCCCAGAAACTGGACTACCTGAGATGGTTCCTGGTCTGATTTCTGGAAGTTTATGACAAAGCCAAGGTTTTGAAGGAGAGCAGAGGTCATGTGCGTATGTTTGCGAAGCAAATGTTGGTCTTGGGCCATGATCAGAATATCGTCCAGATATATGATGGAACGTATTCCCCGAGAGTGGAGTAGTGCCATGACCGGCTTCATTAACTTGGTGAAACACCAAGGGGCGGAGCAAAGTCCAAAAGGAAGGCAGGTGAACTGCCAAATTTCGCCCCGCCAGAGGAATCGAAGGAATGCACGATGACTTGGTGCGATTGGGACCATGAGGTAAGCATCCTTGAGGTCGAATCTGGAGAACCAGTCTCCCAAGCAGAGTAGGTCCCTGAGAAGATGGATACCTTCCATCTTGAAATGGCGATATGTGATGAACTGATTCAGTTCTTTGAGGTTGATAATAGGACGGTGATCTCCGGTCTTTTTCCGTACCAGGAACATGTTGCTGATGAAAGTGTAAGGGAAAGGCGAGGGTTCGATTGCCCCTTTGTCTAATAGTTTGTGCAACTCTGAATCTAAGGTTAGTTTGTCTGTTTGTGACATCCCTAAGGGTGTTGGAGGGTGGCTCTTAGTGGGGTGTGTGAGAAAATTAATTTTGAAACCCCTGACTGTATGGAGGATCCAGTGATCCTGAGAGAGTAGTTTCCACTGTTGGAAAAAAAGGGTTAATCGACCTGCAATTGACACATTTTTTAAATAAGTAAGGTCCATCACCTGAAGCAGTGCGTTTGTGCAGGCATGCAGAGCCACGTCCTCGAATAGAGCCTCTGGAGCTGAAGAGCTGTCTGTGGTAGGGTCTTCTGGGTCCAGAGGACCAATGATCTGTGGGTCGGGGCCTGTAGCCTGCAAAGGCTGCTCTACTGGTAGCTCGGCCCCTGAAGCGACCAGCTCTCCCGGAAAAACGATGAGTTTGGTAGCAGAAGACCCTGCGTAGTGAGGACTGGGCTTTATTAAGCGTTGTAAATACAGAGACATGCTTAGAGAGGTCTCGCATAAAGCTGTCACCAAACAGAAGACTGTAACGGAGCTCCTTGTACTCCGACTGAGTACCCTCCGTTGATGGATGCTCCTAGCGCTTGCTGAGGACCCCAAGTGCTGCAGCAGACACCACAACCACCGCAGACTCCGCAACAGCCGTATCTTGACTGGAGTCTCGCCGTCTTCCTTCCACCCTGGATCAGCTTCAGTCCTCCAGGACTGTGTGGGAAAGAACTCTTCCTTCCACCCTGTATGAATCTCCAGCATCCAGGACTGTGTGGTGAAGACCCCTCCTCCAAGAAGAGCGTGTCAAGAACAAGCTCTTAAAAGAGCTAAGTGACTCAAGCTCAGGGGAGCATGCAGAGCATAGCAATCCCCAGTGTGATTATAACAGCTCCCTCCAATAACGAGACAAGGCTATGTTTAGAAGGATCAAGAAGAACTGTCAAAACCTTTATTTCCCTTGGGACCAGCCAATAGGGTCACCACAATAACATTGTTGTGAAACCTCAATAAAATCACAAACAGTCAAAACATATCAAACAACACACAGTGACTTATCACAACACAATGGCACATTCTTAAAGGGGTGGGGGGAGACAATATTTAACAGTAAATGTCTCACCTGCCTGCAGAATTAGCAATATGCAAATCTACCCGAATATGCAAATGAACCAGTCTTGCAATTCAGGTAGTGCATATTGCTGTTGCTACCAACAGAGGGCACTAGACAGGCTCCATAGCCAAACCCACCTAGTTGGTAGCAAACCTCAGCAATACAAGAGAGCAGGCAATACATTACACAGTACACACACACACTATAAACAATTACATTACACACACCCTGCACCTATAATGGGTACAGGGTGACTAAAACATAAGATAAATAAAGCAGCCTACATAAATAGTCTGTCTGAAGGTAGACTAGGGGCTTTAAAGCCAGATACATGAAAGAGTCATAGTCACAGGGGAGGAGGCTGGCAAGTAGGCCTCTCCAGGACCAAGTGGCGAAGGGCACTTCGTCACATATCTCCCCTTCGGGGGGAAGACTAACCAGGCACCTGACTTTCTGTCGGTCAGTGCCTAAGTTAGTCGAGTCACCCACCGACCATAAGCAAGTGCCAGAGTAGTCCACCCACAACAAACAGTTATTAGAGCAGCCCACCCACAGCAAACAGTGACTGCACCTGGGTATTCCTCTGGGGTGATGGGGCAACACGCTGTGGGGACTTGAGGGGCAGAGGCCAGCGGCGCTCTGCCCTGATGCCAGCGCTTCTGCTGGGAGGAGGGGGGTGCAGGCCAGTCCTGTGACAAGGGGATCGGTAGGGCAGAGGCCAGCGGCGGTCTGCCCTGATGCCAGCTCTTCTGCTGGTATAGCCTGCAAGACATCAGGCTCTGAACAAGGGACAAAGGGAGGGCAGAGGCCGACTGCACTCTGCCCAGCTGCCAGCTCTTCCGCTGGTATAGCCTGCAGGACATCAGGCTCTGGACAAGGGACAAAGGGAGGGCAGAGGCCGACTGCACTCTGCCCAGCTGCCAGCTCTTCCGCTGGGGTGCTGGGAACATAGTCCGGCTCAGTTAACCCTGGGGCCAAGTTAGGAGTTAGCTGGGGAGGGGAATTCGTACTTACCCCCTCTTCCTGTTGTCCCTGTGAGGGTAGTTGGGGATCTGGACAGGCTGTCCAGCATCCCTGTAGGTCAGGCACAGAGACCACGGTCCCATCTGCACCATCTGGGAGATTGGTGTCTTCCCTTGGTAGGGTAAGCTGCCGCTGGGGAGATAGGGTGCTGTGCTCCTCTCCCTGAAACACAGGCTGCTGCTGGAGAGGGAGACCGCCTATCTCCACTCCCATAACATTGTCTTGCTGCTGGAGAGAGAGACCAACTGTCTCTGCTCCCTGTAGGACACACTGCTGCTGGGGGGGAAGGACGACACCTTCGGCCCCCTGGAATTCGCACTGCCGCTGGGGAGGAAGGACGACACCTTCGGCTCCCTGTAACTTGCACTGCCGCTGGGGAGGAAGGACGACACCTTCGGCTCCCTGTAACTTGCACTGCCGCTGGAGACTAGGTGTCCATATCCTCAACCTCCACAGTTGTCGCTCAAAGGCCATTGCCGCACTGTTCTCAGCACTCAACTGGCGCATTACTTGGTGGACCACCTCGTTCGAAAGGTCTGGGCCATAGCAGACCAACCGCCTCTTTACCTCCTCAATGTAAGCGTCGTCCTCGTAGCGACGTATCATGTTGAGGTGCTCTTCGCAGGGCTCTGTCCATCCCTGCTCCATGCTGCTGTAGTTAGGGACGCTGCACAGTGGCTAGCGTTGCCCTCAATAACCTCTCATACGATACCAGTGTCTCCGAGCTGCTTCTCCTCGCACTAGGACGCCATCCCACCGCTGCCACCAATGTAACGGAGCTCCCTGTACTCAGACCGAGTACCCTCCGTTGATGGATGCTCCTAGCGCTTCCTGAGGACTCCAAACACTGCAGCAGACACCACAACCACCGCAGACTCCACAACCGCCGTAGCTTAACTGGAGTCTCGCCGTCTTCCTTCCACCCTGGATCAGCTTCAGTCCTCCAGGACTGTGTGGGAAAGAACTCTTCCTTCCACCCTGTATGAATCTCCAGCATCCAGGACTGTGTGGTGAAGACCCCTCCTCCAAGAAGAGCGTGTCAAGAACAAGCTCTTAAAAGAGCTAAGTGACTCAAGCTCAGGGGAGCATGCAGAGCATAGCAATCCCCAGTGTGATTATAACAGCTCCCTCCAATAACGAGACAAGGCTACGTTTAGAAGGATCAAGAAGAACTGTCAAAACCTTTATTTCCCTTGGGACCAGCCAATAGGGTCACCACAATAACATTGTTGTGAAACCTCAATAAAATCACAAACAGTCAAAACATATCAAACAACACACAGTGACTTATCACAACACAATGGCACATTCTTAAAGGGGTGGGGGGAGACAATATTTAACAGTAAATATCTCACCTGCCTGCAGAATTAGCAATATGCAAATCTACCCGAATATGCAAATGAACCAGTCTTGCAATTCAGGTAGTGCATATTGCTGTTGCTACCAACAGAGGGCACAAGACAAGCTCCATAGCCAAACCACCTAGTTGGTAGCAAACCTCAGCAATACAAGAGAGCAGGCAATACATTACACAGTACACACACACACACACACTATAAACAATTACATTACACACACCCTGCACCTGTAATGGGTACAGGGTGACTAAAACATAAGATAAATAAAGCAGCCTACATAAATAGTCTGTCTGAAGGTAGACTAGGGGCTTTAAAGCCAGATACGTGAAAGAGTCATAGTCACAGGGGAGGAGGCTGGCAAGTAGGCCTCTCCAGGACCAAGTGGCGAAGGGCACTTCGTCACAAAGACCATCTGCGTCTGGTCCCAATTCCTTAGAGCTTAAGTCTACTAATTTAGCGTCAATTTTATAAAGTGCCGCTTTTCGTCTTTCTATTGAAATTGCCACGTTTGCATTGCCTAATAAGCAAAGAGCTCTCTGAGCCCATTCTCTGATAGAGTGTGGATCGAATTCACCACTAGTGAGTGCCTCATCTGCCAGGATAAAAATCTGGATTATGGGACCTGAAATGTCCAAAAGCTTGTCTTGGGCTGCTTTTAACCCTTGCTCTATACCCTTACGAGGGTCTTTGCCAGATTTAGTCAAAAGGGTGACCAGCATGGTGTCGAATTCAGGGGTAGAGGCAACTTTGCCAGGAATAGTAGGTCTTGGGCATTCAGCCCTCAATTTATTTCTGAGTTCTTTTTCGAGGGGCTTGCGAAGCCACATTTTGCAGTAACTGGCAATGTGATCAGGAGGGGTCCATTCTGCAGACTGTGGGTGACGAATCACCCTTCGATCAAAAAGGGGAAGGCCTGAAGCATCCAGGAGGGTGTCTGAAGCAGGCTCTTTAGTTGGAGGGGCACCTTTAGCATCTTGAACATGAAAGGTTTCCTTAATAAACTCTGATGTTGAGGAATCCTGGGGCATATTCACCGTAGGATCCTCATCAGAGTAGGTGGTGTCATAGTCGTTTAAAATATGACCAGCTAGTCTGGAAGTAGAGCCCTCCAGAGGGTCTGACGGGTTCTGCATAGTAAATGTTTGAAGATTTTCGCAGGAGCTCTGCCTTTGCCTGCAGTAACGCTATTCCCTTTCCAGGGTCTTTTGCGCGGGGCACTTTCTTGATCTGAAAGGTGAGAATCCTCTGAGTCAGAGGCTTGGCGTGTAGAGGGATGAACCTCTGTAGTAGAGTGCTCATGATAAGCTGCCAGAGCTTTGGGAATGGACTCTGCAATGGTGGCAAATAGCCAATCCCGAAGTTCTGCAGAAATAGCAGGGTCTTGGTGTTCCGACATTTTTAATGTTTAAATTATGGGATTGACAAAGGGCAGATTAGTAACTACAGGTAAGTGTAGTAAAATTATAAGGCAGTGTTGTTAAGTGACAAAAAATGAGGCAACTCAACTAGTATAATGGAGAGGTGGGGGTCACCAACACGAACTGAAACCAGTGGGGGTCACCCACAATTATTAGGCACAATAAAGAAAGGGGGTCACCCTTTAACAAATGGTGAACAGCAATAAAAAGTATATATATATTCAGATAAGTAAGCCCACTGAGGTAGGGTTGCCCACTAAAGAGGACCCTGTCAAACCAAAGTGGGGTTTCTGTGAGTGTTAAATAACAAAGTGGTATCTGCCAATTTTTTTTTTTTGCTAAGCAGTAGTTATGGTGGAGTTAAGTAATAAAAGAAAGTGGGGATCACCCACAAAATAAGCAGGGTGGTGTCAGCCACGCAAAATATTGTTGGCAGTAGTTGTGGTGGGGGTCACCCACAAATGAAACAGAAGGTGGTGTCAGCCAAAAATTTTAATAAAGAAAGTGGTACAGTGAATTATCACTTTAACATAAAGGGGGTCACCCAATAGTTTATCAGGCAGGACTTGCTGAGTTAAATAAACCTGCAATGATAAGGAGAGAGAAAGATCAGTGTGCTGATCTTAAAAAGGCAAAACTTGTCATATAGATAATAAATGGTATAACCAATTAACTTACCTTCCGGGTAAGTAACAATAGTACCCACAGATGAGGGAAAAACGCAGCGGAGTGAAAAAACGCGAGTGCCGCGATTAAAGATGGCCGCCGCAAGAAGAAGGGGCGGAGCCGCCGTACGGGGGAAACCAGTGAGGAGAAAGGGCGCGAAGGCTGTAGCAGGAGACCAATGGTCTCCTGGGAAATGGAGTTCCTCACTAGGCAGTTTCCTGACAGGAGAGGAGGAGGGGAGGAAAAAAACCCGGCGGGCAGATGCTGTGTGCGGCCGAAAACTGCTTACACTTGTAATTAAAGGTGTAAGCTACCTTAAAGCAGAATAATAAAAGAGGACATATTCCACTGAAAAGGAAAATAAAAGACACTTGTAAAAGACATATTAAATTAACAAAAGGTGTTAAAGGAAAATTAACCTGAGGCAAACTAAAACTATTATTGAGCTATCTCATAGGAAAACAGATAAAAAAAATCATCAAATAATCTTAGAGAATTTGAAATTTAAGTACTGAAACTAGGCAACGTAATTGGAATAGACTCACCTGGGAGGCAAGCAGCAAAGAAAGAGGAAGTGGGAGGAGTCTGGTGGCACTATATTGCTCTATGTTATGTTATGATTGGTTGAATTTCTTACAACTTTATTAACTATTTCTTTGCTGCTGGGAGTTTCAGTAAAGAAAGATAAGCAAATATGAAGCCTCCTGTCTTGCCATAAAATTATTTCCTGTAACCATTTTGCAATCTGTGAGTTTTCAGATACATTGTGTATAATTGTATACATGAACATCAGGCCTAACCAGGCTGTGGAATTTTACTTAATGATGTATTATTGAATGAATAGTGTATGATGTCTTATGACCCTTATATTATCAAAGGCTGTATAATATGATGGTATTTGACTATGAGGAATGTGACTAAATATGCACTCAGAAATTGATGAGAGTGTGTTAGAACCCACCACTTGCTTATACCTGTAGAATGGGGATATTTTACATACTGAAGGCCTCATTGCTAGTACACTTGTTTTATATGTCTTCTTTTATTTGTTTACTTTTCTGTGTTATACTGTAATCCTAAAATCTCAAAGTGAAGATTGTCAAAAAAAATCCAATTTTTTTATATCCTGCTTCTATGGGTGTAGTAGTAGTAAATGTGTTTAACCCCATTACAAAGGTGAGCTAATCCAGGTGCACAATATGTGGATGCAGGGCCTCCTTCAGGGGGTGACAGCCATGACAGTTGTCACAGGCTCGGCTGTCCTGGGGGGCTCGACTGCCTGGGTCCCACATTCCCCATCTGTAGTGGCAGAACTGCACCGGAGCCCGCATGGTGATGGAGCCCATCGGGTGGCCCATGCACTTAGGGCCAGCCAAACCAAAATGTAAGAAATAGGACGGTGGCTGAAAAATGAGCTGCATGAGTGTGTGTCAGTATGTGTGTGTGTATGTTTGTGTGTGTCTATATGTGTGTCAGTATGTGTGTGTGTGTGTGTATGTCTGTATGTATGTATGTGTGTGTGTGTCTGTATGTATGTCCGTATGTATGTTTGTGTGTGTCTGTATGTATGTCAGTATGAGCATGTGTGTCAGAATGTATGTCTGTGTATCTGTATGTGTGTGTATGTGTCAGTATTTATGTCTGTGTGTATGTCTGTTTCAGTATGTGCATCTGTCAGTATCTATGTGTGTCAATATATATGTCAGTGTGTGTCTCTGTGTATCAGTATGTATGTGTATCTGTGTGTCATTTTGTGTCAGTGTGTGTATCTGTGTTTGTGTCTGTGTATATTCTGTGTTAATGTGTATGAGTGTGTGTATCTGTGTGTGTCAGCGTGGGTATATATCTCTGTGTGTAACTTTGTGTCATTGTGTGTGTCTGTCTGCATTTCTATCTACACTACACACAAATGCACACCTGCATTCAAACACCAACACTCACACACATACTCCATAATCAAACACAACTTGTGTGTGTTTGTGTGTGTGTGTGTGTGTTTGTATATATATATATATAGAAATACAGGTTTGTAATATATATACATATATATATATATATATATATATATACACACACACACTGCATCCACTACACATGAACTAACACACACTGTGTCCATTTTACACACCATGTCTCCAATGCACAAACACACTCAGCATCCACAAAACACACAACCTGTGTGTCCACTCTACACACATTGCATCCTTGTGGGTGGACTTGGAGGTGGGCCATAAGGGCAGGTTTGGAGGTGGGCTCCCGGGGGCCCAGACCATGCGCTGTGTTAACAGCTCTCTGTGTGTGTCTTAGTTTTCATCTGTAAGCAGGGTGACCCAAACTCAGCTCATCAGAACAAAATTATATAGCAGTGTGCCTGTACCCCCCTAGATAACTTGTGCTCTGCATCTCTGTCTGGAACCATCCACTGTGTGCACTGCATTGTGGTCTATCTCTCAGTATATCTCTACGATGAACAACATACCCATATTTCCTTACACACAACACCACAAGAAGCCAAGAATAGGGGAGGAGGAGTCTGCGCTAAACAACAAAAATGGGAGCTGCAACCCTCAATAGGGAATCCCTCAAAAAACCCTAATAAAATAGTAGAAAAGAAAAAGGGGTGAAGGGCTGCGCTAGATACAGATGAAATATATAAAATATATAAAATAGTAGAAAATAATAATAGGATATGAATATACAATAAAAGATATACAGTAAAAATACAATAAGATAATGTAAAACAGAGTCCGTGCACTAGTAGTGGAAAAACTTAAAACTTTAAAAGTCCAATAATATGCATAAAAGACGTCTCACTGTTATGTAGATGAACTGTATATGTACAGTCCTCAAAGGTTAATCCTTCCGAATTTCCAGGGAATCCGTATATGAAAGATAAGAACATAAACACACTTCCAATGGTATAGTATATACTGAGAGGTTTAGCGAAATTGAATAAAAGTGGAGAATGGTAAACTCACAAGAAGCCACCCCACACACAAGTCTGCAAGCAGCCTCTACACACATAGCTTTCATCAAACGTACATGAAGACCTACAGCTTTTAATACACACATATTGAAGCTACCACCACACGCTCAGACTGGTGAAGGGACACCAAATGTTAGGTTGAAAAACACTGGTAGAGATTGGAGAGACATTGGAAGAAACATAGTGGGACAGAGACTGGGGGATAAAGGGATTTTGACCGAGGGAGAAAGTAGAAAAACAGAGAGTTGGGAAAAAGTGACTGAAGGGAGGTGTTCATGTTTAATTACTCATTGTGTCTAAACACTATTTAATACTGCCAGGAGTCTGATTTGATTTCTGGGTCCCGCCTCCTACTGTCCCTTCTCTATACCCACCTTTTGTCACTATTCTAGGTCCTAGAAATGGACACCTTCTGCCCCACATAAGGATTTAACATTGGTATTTTCATTTAGGGAAGAGGTGGGGTTTAGAGCAAAGCAGGAAATGTGCCTGGAAAGGGAGAAATTAATTTAATCACACCCACAGAGGGGTCTTAAGAAGAAAAAATTGCACCCAGGTGTCAGACTCTTGACTCAACCCTGAACCATAATGTAAAGATTCCTACTTAGAAATTTTAAAATTTTGTCTAAAATGAAGGAAAATGTTTAAACGAGTAGCCTTTTTTAAAATACAACTTGACCTTAAGTTTCAGTATTACCATGTAAAACCCTGACTACATTGTTTTATAGGTTTTATAAAGTACATACTTTCAATGTTTCTTTTTTAGTATGGCTTTGAAGTTGTAGAAGTCTGAGGCTTGAGTCAGAACGGGCAAAATATATTAGTTTTTAATTTGCCAGCTAAAGACATCACATAAGGGTATAAGTTGTGCTAATATGGATGAACTATAGGCTGGGCTTGAAAGCTGGTGAGCATTTTAGAAGCAATATAGTTACTGATCTTTTTATTGTCCTTAGAATGGTCTTCCATCTCCAGAGAGACCGTACCTCTTCAATGGGGACTTTGTTGACAGAGGGAAACAATCCATTGAGATCTTGATGATCCTTTTCGCATTTTTGTTAGTTTATCCAAAGGCACTCCATTTAAACAGAGGAAATCACGAAGACTATATGGTCAACTTAAGGTAAGGAAAGGAGTAAAATGAAAGAAAAAAAAACTAAAGTTTCCGTGGGTTTGCTGATTTGTAGTTGACTATTTTTTAAATTTTTGTTCATAGATATGGATTCACCAAAGAAGTGATGAAAAAATATAAGGTATGTAGATTACCTCATTGAACGTATTTTAAGGTGGCCACATAACTGTTGCTATTATTTTTTAACATAAGTATTATTACCATGCATGTAGTTTAGTGCCACAAAGATTAATATGTTTCCTGTCATAGTATGGGTAATGGATGAGTATTGGCTTCTCAGAAGCTTTTCATTTTTAGGTCACTTTGTCATTACAGAAGAATATTTTCTATTTTAAATTTATATTGTCCATAATGGCAATACAGAGCCAAAAAGCATGATATATAGCAACTGCAGATGATAATTTCAGCTTCTGTAGGCATAATCAGTTAAGAATGGTTGATATCGCTCTGGGGACAGCAAGCAAATGATCCATAGTTATATTACCCTTCAGACTAACAGAAAACAAATAATGTACTTATCTTTGAAAACTAGGGAAGCTGAAACATTTGCTATGCTTTGTGGTAAGTCAACAGACATTGCAATTCCATTCTGGACTGCTTTTAGGAGTGAGATCAGTCATACTCTCATGGAAACTGTTCTTCCCCAAATTCACAACTAACTTGAATAACCACAACCAATCTGACAAGCACATTACGTCTCTGCTCATAAGGCAAGCTAGTTGCTAGCTGGTTGTTATCCATTTATGTGAGTATCACTTAACTCCCAGTAGGTGATTTTTTGAAGTGCCTTTACACCTCAAGTAACCAATTTTTAACCTACCTTCCTTAAAGCACTTTGGGTTGTGAATTATTAATACAACTGTGTATTTTGTGTAAAAAAAAAAAACACAGGAAAGCAACAAATATAGGCCTCGATTTAATAGTTTCCGACAAGCATTATAAATGGTTTAATATTTTTGGATAAAGTTAAAAAAGATTTTTTTCAAAATATTCACATATCAAAAATATATACTCTATAATAAAAAATATCAATATCTCAAAAAAATTAAAATAATTTTCAATATGAAGCTTATCCAAAAATATTAAATCATTTGAAAAGCTTATCCAACAACAGTAAATCAAGGACATAATGAGTAAATTGTTTTATTTATCAACGTATTACTTTTCTGTTCCAGGTCCATGGAAAAAAAATTCTAAAAATGCTGCAGAGTGTTTTTAGCTGGCTCCCACTGGCCACCATAATTGATCAGAAAGTACTGGTGACACATGGAGGGGTATCCAGTACCACAGACTTAAATCTATTGTCTAAAATTGAAAGGCACAAGGTAAAACATCCATTTATTTAGCAACATCTTCATTTTGATATATCAGCTTTTTATATTTTAATTTTTTTGTTAGCATTTACACATTATTTTTCCCCCAACATCATTTTAAAAGTGTGTCTGATTCTCATTATTAATGTCACATGTTTATTTTTTAAATCTCTAGTTTGCATCTACTTTGCGACCTCGGAAAAAGAAGGAGAAAACTAAGCAAATGGATGAAAAATTAAATCATGGGAATTGTACAAATGGAGAAAACGCTGTGGCAGAACCTGTGAATCCCCATAGAAGTGGGTCATTCTCCCATAGTTCCAGCCCAAGCCTTATACCCAAGTACAAGGGGAAAAGATCTGCCAGTAGCCCCACCACTATGACCATTGACAGAAAGGAGATCTCCAAACGTGTACGACAGGCTGTTGATGAAGAGCTAGAAAAATGTCGGCGGCAGGTGGGATTAACAGAAACTTATGCAGAGCCAGATAGCCCAGTTTCTGTGTCTGAATCTGACTCTGACTCCGGGGATGTCCAGGAATTTGACACTGACAATGAAGAGATGAAGCAGGTGACATATGTGTCTTTTAATACAATTTTTTCAATGTGCAATTGTCGTTTTGTTTTGGTGCTTTACAATTTTTAGTTTTGTTAGATATGAGATGTACATTACAGGTGTTCTAAAAAGTTTAGCTGGGATACAAAATGGAAAAGAAAACTGCAAATATCAATTACAGTATACTTTTACAAATTCGATCTTTACATGGATAATTCCATTCAAAACCACTGATGAAGTAATAATAAATAACTAGTTTTTGTATAGCACCATTCTTCCAGTCAGACTCAAAGCACTATTCAGCGTACACTCTCAGAATGAACCGAATCAGAAGCTGAGTAATAATGGATATTATTACCCAATTGATAGTACTCATTTTATGAACCTTGGAAGGATGAAGGGCTGAGTTGACTCTGCCAGGATTAGTACCTGTGACATTATTGAACATGGTATGCAGTTAGGGAATTTTCCAACGGAGATACCTCACCAGCTACAGTAACCGTAAAAATCACCAAACATAGTATCATCGATAGGAAACTGCTCTGTGTCCCCCCACCCGATCTCACCTAAATCTGGTTTGCCTGCTCAGTGTCACTCATAGAGGTGAGCATGAATAACCACAACACAGCCCCCCATTAATAATACTGGGGAAGAAAAAGGAAAGATATGGAGAATGTTCAAAAATTGAAGAGAGACAAAAGAATAAAGGTGTGTGTCTGTGGAGGTAAGGATTGGGGGTAAAATGTTGGGGTGTCAGGGAGAAGGGAGTACAGTGTAAGGTGACAGCTGATCCCAACCTCGCCACTCATTAATTGCTGTGTGGAACTGTAGAGAGACTGTCCGACCGCCAGGAATCTACGTAATTTAAATCATGTGTTTTATCTCCCCTCCTCTCCCAATCTTGACACAAAATCCAGCAATGGTAGCCAGATCTCATAAAATTTCACCTCCCTACCATACAGACTAACCATTATATCCTCCATCTGCCTCATCTCTTCCATTTTAGCAATCCATTGGTCTAAACCAGGTTTAGCAATCTGCTTCCAGTGGGCATGGATCAGCACTCTAGCCGCTTTCAAAAAGTCCTGTGTCAAAGATTTTTTAGATTTGGAAACCGGCATCTCCACGTGACTGAGCAACAGAGCTGCCAGAGTAAACAGGACCCTATCTTCCACCACAAATAACATTGTCTCATGAACCAGTAATCAAAATGATTGGATACGTGGGCATTCCCACCATATGTGTAGAAGTGTTCTTCTACCCTATATATACCTCCAGCATTTGTCAGATACTCCCAGAAACATCTTTTGTAGGTGATGAGGTGTCTGATACCACATGTATAGTAGTTTGTAGTTCGTTTCCTGTATAGATGAGGTCAGAGAGAAACAGTGTTGAAGAATGCAGATCTTAGACCATTGCTCTTTTGAGACGACAGTCCCTAAATCATCCTCTGATCATTAAAAAAACTTATGAGGGGGCTGGCTCCACTAGGGTGCTTAAGTGTTTGGTATAAAACCAAAACACATACAAGTCATAATTTTTACTTTTGCTGTCACCCCTGTTAGACTGCCTGTGTGCAGGTGACTGGCTTACTTGCTAATGCTGATGGGAGTGTCAGGTCTGGAGCAGCTGTCTCCTTATTTCTCTCCCCTCTGCTGCCCGTGCCACCTCATCCTCCCATGTGGGCTCTCTCTGTGTCTCACTTCTTCCCTGGCTGCCAATGTGAAGGAGACCAGGATGCGCTGCCCGCTGGGCCCCTGTTCAGCAACATTCATTAGGTGAACATAAGTGTATGGTCCACCTGCTGCGCCACACAGTGTGCGGGTAGTTCTGACACTGAATGGAATGGCACTGGAGTTTTATTATTTTTACCCAAATACTATTCGTGGTTTAACATTTGTTAATATATAATTAACGTATCTTGAAATAGAACAATGGGAATTTCTTCAATATTAACAATAAGTGTACTATGAAGTCCAGGTTAATGGAGTATTAGTTAAAGTAAATCATGAATGAGATTATCTTTATGTTGTACTGCAAATTGTCTTTATAGAATTTTCTAAGAGGAACAGAGTGAACTGTTCATGGTCAGTAGAACAATTCAGAACATTTGCTGTGTGAAGGAATGTCAATATGAACTTTTAAGCAAAGAGCTTCAGCTGTTTTGATTACTGTTTTAGAGTTTATTTCAGTAGATATATGGCAATGGGGAGAAGAAAAGAGTGAAGGAGGCAGACAATAGGCTGTTTGATGTGGGAAACAGGGATGATGTTTGCAGGTGGTTACATAAAATGGTATATAGATTTAGTAAGCTCTCTCCAGTAGAACACTCTTCATTAGTTGAAGGTGGCCAAAAGGAGGCAGTGGGATAGGTTTATTTTTTCATAAATAAACAAAAATAAATATAGCTCCATGAATAACCTTGACCCAAATGTACATGAAACAGTGAAAATAGTAACATTACAGTCCTATAAACAAGTTAAAATCTGACTGTTCTCTTGCTATTTTGTTACCGTAAAATGCGTCAGATTAAATTATACTTCAGTTGATTCTACTTTTCAATATTGTAAAGATTGTAGATATTCTTTGGAGTGATCCCATGCCACAAGATGGCTGTAAATCAAACACTGTTCGTGGAGGTGGATGCTATTTTGGTCCTGATGTGACAGAAAAATTCCTTAGAAAGCATGGGTTGCAGATGCTAATTCGCTCCCATGAATGTAAGCAAGAAGGCTATGAATTCTGCCACAATGGAAAGGTAAGGTCCATGGCAATATTATAACATTATTATAACTGCGTGATTGAAAGTTTACTCCGTCTATAAACATGCCACAAAGCTCAAGGCACAGAAAGGAGCCAAATAAGTTCAAACTATATATTATTTTTTTATTATTCATCTATCTCTTTAGCATTCTACACTGTTGTCACTCCTATTGGGGAAATACAAGACTTGTAAATATTGTTGAAGACCCATTTAGAGAAGCACCTTAAAGGGACACTCCAGACACCTCAAACACTTCAGCTTGGTTTAAGTGCTTTATGTATAAAGAGTGTCTCCTCATGTCTTAATTTTGCAAAAAATGCAGATTTCAATAAAAAATTGCACTTTATAAATTAACCTTGTTATACCCACTGGCTGCCATTCATACTATAGGTCCTGTTACTTCCTGGTTTGGTTTGCTCAGTGGAGCTAAACACAAGAGGAGGGCAATTGCCCAGAATACCTGCCTTGCAAAGACTTCTCATTGAGCTGCGTTGGGAATTCTGTGATTGTACAGCCATAGAAAGGCTAGGCAGGGTTTGAAGGGCAATGCTTGCAAAGGCAGCAGATAACACCTGCAGGTTTTGCAAGCTGTTGTTAGATATAATCCCAGTGAATTTAATTATGCATGCAAGTTTTTATTGTGGATATATCTACTGAATTGTGATTTTTAAAAATGAAGATAGATGAAATAACACATCATCCAGCACAGGTTGCCACATTCTTATTTGGGTGTATCAATCACATTAATATCACATGTCTCCAAACTTTATAAATTATATTTTTAGCCAGTGTTTGTGCTGCCATTTTCCAATTGCCCTTTCCCCCCTTTTTTATAGGTATTGACTATATTTTCTGCTTCAAATTATTATGAAATAGGAAGTAACAAAGGAGCCTACGTCAAACTGGGGCCTGATCTTGTCCCACACTTTGTACAATACCAAGCAAATAAGACCACAAATACTCTGACTATGAGACAGAGGTAAGATTTGTTGATTCCAAGATTCCTGTGCATGGAATATCTGACTATGTATAATGAGTAATCCACCCGTGTCACATATGTTTCGTAGCATTTCTGTCATCTTGCCAACTCATACCTGACAAAGCTTAAGGAAAATAGAAACATAGAAACATAGAATGTGATGGCAGATAAGAACCATTCGGCCCATCTAGTCTGCTCAATGTTCTAAATACTTTCATTAGTCCCTGGCCTTATCTTATAGTTAGGATAGCCTTATGCCTATCCCACGCATGCTTAAACTCCTTTACTGTGTTAACCTCTACCACTTCAGCTGGAAGGCTATTTTTTTAAAATCCTTCATATTATGACTGTCCTGATAACACATCTGCAGTGAAGAGGTTTATCTTGCTTTGCATATATACCAGTGGAGTTTCATAGTTTTTATTAATTTCATAATTGTTGGGTAATACATAACTCCCAACATTTGAAATAGACAAAGACGGTCACATTGTAAAGACAAGTTACTGTATTATTGCTGTGAAGCTCTGTTACACACTCAGACACACTAGCAATATGGATCTCCAATGTTACTTTACTTGCATTTCCATCTGACAAAACAATGTACTGTAGTCACACTGTTTTAATAACCATCTAAAGTTGTATAATATTGTTACTCACACCAACTAGAGTGAACAAGGAAGCCTCATTTTTAACTCTACAATGCTATACCTGATCCTTATGTATCTTCATTTTTTAGAGTAAGCACAGTGGAGGAGTCTGCTCTAAGAGCATTGAGAGAAAAACTGTTTGCGCACAAGTCAGATGTCATTAACGCCTTCAAGCTTTATGACCGAAAACGAAGTGGTAAGGAAACTCATTGGTTGTTTTTTATTGTAAAAAAAAAAAAAGATTAAAAACTCTTACTTTGCAATTGATCAGAAGAAGAAGCCCAGGTAGGCGGGCGAAACGCGTCACATGTGACGTCACAGAAGAGGTGGACCCGCATGAGATCACGTGATCGAGACTGGTGAACCCAGAAGTGACTGTATTGAATGGTGGAAGCCGTTTTACTCTGTCCTTACAAGCTTGTATGTGGGTAGTTTTTACTGGCATACCCAACAATTGCAAAGTGAGAGTTTTTAAACTTTTTTTTTTACAATAAATTGAGAAGATACTATTCAATTGTAGATTATGCTAACGTAGTGTACCTATAATCTTAATTTTAATAATGACAGGAGGCGAGTATTTTGCATAACTTTCTTTACTTTATGCCTCCAGCAGCACAAGTCAATCAATAAACTTTAAACCAATCAGTAACAGGCATCACATTCATATATAAAGCCCTGACAGTCACATGACTTCCTCTTTCTTTGATGCGAAAAACAGTCTATTATAACGTCAGGGAATTCAAATAACAGTCCTGAGTAACGTGTAGAACATAACTTGAAACCTTCCAGCTTTATCTTGTCGAATCCATCTATGATGATTACGCTGAAAAGAACAGAAATACGTGAAAGGTGATGGAAACCAACTGTTGTCCACATTAAATCCAGTACTATATGTGTCTATATTTATATTAAGTTAATATACTGAAACATTAAACAAACCATAGTATACTTAATAATCAACACGGATCTAACACATATCAACCAAATAAGCATCCCATAAATATACTGAATTACCAAACCTTATAATTTACACTGAGAAAATGACAAACCAAAATATAAAAAATTTCCAGAGTATAGGGAGGGAAACAGGGAGGGAAAATACTCGCCTCCTGTCATTATTAAAATTAAGATTATAGGTACACTACGTTAGCATAATCTACAATTTTATCACATGACAGGAGGCTTCATATTTTGCATTTTTAAAGCTGTGGTATGAGCGTGAAGGATGCGTGTGTGGTTGACGAAAATAAATATACGGAAGTAGTCTATCCGTGTCCAATTCGTCGCTGAAAATATAGAGGCCCCCTCGTGAAGGCCTGAGAAGCAGCTGCGCCTCTTACCGAATGAGTACCCAAACACGTCTCCACTCTTGCTAGCGATAACAACCAATGAACCCATCTAGACAGAGTGTTCATGGTAACTGGCTTGTACGGTTGGTATAAGACCAGCAGATGTCCTGAATGTGGCATTCTAAGTGTTGTCGTGATCTCCATGTAACAAAGTACCCCTTTAACTGCACAAAGGCTGGGAAACCGTCGGTAACAGGGAACGATACGGACACGGATAAGATATAGTTCTACGAGACACTGTAGAAATTATTCTTTCCGGTGATACCGAAAAGACCGTCTACGTCGAACTCCAGTACATCTGATACCCGACGAAAAGACCTAAAAGTAACGTGACTCTGGCTAATGGCTGACTGAGGGATAGGACCGTGATATCTGACTAGCTCCAAAAGAACCAAATCAAAGTCCCACACCAGTGATACTTTGACGCATGGTTCTGGACGGTTTGATACCCCACAGAAAATGGCATATCAAAGGCTCTTAATTGACCGGAGTGTCGTGAATCGTGCTATGCATCGTCGAAATCGCGGAACGTAGCCCGTTAATGGAACGTTCCGATCGGCCTGTAGTGAAAAGGTATGATAAAGATCCAGCATCGTGGAGATAGGGGTAATAAAGGGATCGCAGTCCCTTCCCATACACCAGCGAACTCAAGGTGTTCCATGCGGATAAGTTATTTCGGGGAAATACCTGGCGTCCATAAGTCCCATAGTAGGTCTCTAGTTGGTTGCGATAGTCCCTTGACATACCAGTCTCCCCTGGAAGACACCAATCTACCAACTCCAGATGCTCCTGCATTCTCAATGGATGATGTTCTCCTTTTGGATCCGCCCGAAGGCAAGTTAAAACAGAAGGAGCAGAGGATGATCCTGATTAAGGACAACCCTTCTGGGTGTCACGCTTGCCTCCTTTACCGCAGTAATGAGTACTATCGAAGTCTTCGCTATTCTGATCCCAATTTCATAGGTGTGTCCGTATCTCAGGCAGTGAGCTTTCAGCCACTGTCTGGCCTGGTAGTGAAGCAGTCCTGGGAAATAGTCAAAGGGTTATGGTGCCTTTCCGCCGTACCCGTCGAATTTCCTTACGAATCGTCGCTATCAATGATGTGGGAAGGTGTAATCCGCCCAAGGTGGAATCTATTCTGAAATAGAGGAACTGAATCACTCGGAACTGGGATCGAACCAACTCCTCTCTGTTCACTATGAATCCCAACAATTCCCGAAACTAAACATAAATCTCGTTTGTAAACGTAGTCATGAATTGGATTTGCAAAAGGTAAGTCGTCTAGGTATGTGACAGCAGATACCCTTTGCTTTTCAGTGCACAGTGACCGACTTCAGAAACTTCATGAGGCACCATGTGAACCTATAGGTAAGTGCCCTTCAAGTCCAACCTTGTAGATCCCCTAAGAGATGGATACCTTCCTTCTTGAGTTGTCGGTACGCCCCAAAACCATTGGGTTGGCATAGGTTGATGACTGGGTGATAGTCTCCTATCTTCTTCCTTACTACCAAACCGTTGCTGAGATAAATGGTTCTCCAAACGATAGTCCGTCTGCCTGAGGTCCTCGCTCTTTCGTCCCTAACTTCAATAGTTTGAAATCCATCTTTAATCGGGCTGCTTTGCGGCGTTCTGTGCACCTGTCTGCCTTGCGTTCCCCAACTTACATATTGCCCTTTGCACCTATTCCCTCACATCGTGAGCTTCTAGAGGTGAGTCTTGTGTGGGGTCAGGTCCGCAAAGTATAGAATTTTTTCCCGGGCTGGTCATATCCAGTATTTAACTCATTTTGAGTCCTCCTTCTACACACTGATAGGGACATACATATCACCACGAGCTCCATAGTGAGGACTATCTTGTTCGGACATAGAGGGCGTGGGCATTCCATCCTGAGCCGGTCTCGGATTTCTTTTCCCATAGGCCTCCTAAGCCAGAAGTGGGCCCGGTGCTCCAGTTAACCCCATTCGGATGACCCTGGTTGTCGGATGGTGCGTGAGTCAAAACAGGAGTGTCCAGTGTGCCAAAAAAAAAAAAAACCTTTCTTGCTAGGCGTGTCTTGTCACTTTTACCTCTTCTGCCCTCCATTCTTTCATGATCTCCAGAGAAGGGGGGGGAGGATGAAGTCCTCGTCCCCTGATGATGGGTGTCCGACCTAACGTCGGTATGTCAATCTTCCATTGGTGTTGCTGCCGTTGCACCCGCTCTGTCGGATGGGTTGTTAGCCAGCATACTGGAGAGGACTTCTTCCCCCGGAGCTGTCATGGCAGCCTTAATCCTCGCCTGAAAATCGGTCGGGGATATTGAGGTAAGTCCGACATGTTGGTTCACACCCTTTCGGTCCGTGGGAGACAGGATCGTACAACAGTACACTTATTGCCACTCAGTAGGCCTCCGCGTATAACTGGGGGTCACCCAGAATTTTGATCAATCAGTATCATTTTCGCAGGATCCGGGGAGTGGTCTGAGAATGAGGACACCCTCAGTAAGACCGGGATGAGCGGTCTGCAATGTCGGGACGTAGCCCGAGTCTGGGAGACGTGAAAGCCTCAATATATATAGTCCACGGGGTTCATCCTTATATGGTCTAGAATTGTGGAGTTTTGGCAGCACTGTGAGTTCTCCTTCTCGGTTAAGGGAAGGGCGTACGGAACCCCAGTTGAAGCATAGAGGTGCCAGAATACATGCATCTAGTGCGCCCTGGTCTGTGCATACAATGACAGAGCGTACTCTGAAGGTAGAAGCCCTAGAAAGGGTGCGGGGGGTCACCCCTTTGTACCTATGCCACTAGCACCGGAGTAAGACTCGCTTGGGGTTCACCCAGCATAGGGGGGTCACCCCTGTATGAATGTCTCTTATGGCATGTTGGGACACTCTTTCGGTCTATGGGGTACCGAACAGGTGTCAGGTACGGTAGTACACTTATTGCCACTTAGTGGGCCTCCACGTACAACTGGGGGTCACCCAGAATTGTTTCAATCAGTACCACTTAGAGATTTCCTGGGAGTGGTCTGAGGAGGGGGTCACCCTCAATAAGACTGGGATGAGCGGTCAGTAATGTCGGGACGTAGCCCGTGTATGGGGAGGTATGGTAGCCTCCAAATTATCCAAGGGGTCACCCTTATAGGATATAGTACTGTGGAGAATTGGCAGCACCATGAGCTCTCCTTCCTGGCTCTGTCGATATACATGTATTCAGTGTGACCCGGTCTGTGCATACAGTAACAGATCGTACTCCGTGGAAATGAGCCCGCCCTAGGGCGTGGGGGTTCCCCCCAGTATATGTATGTCACTAGTACCGGAATAATATTCGCTTGGGGTTCACCCAGAGTAGGGGGATCACCCCAGTATATGTATGTCACTAGGACAGGAACCAGATTCGCTTGGGGGTCACCCAGCGTAAGGGGGGTCACCCCTGTACCACAATGTCACTTTGGAGAGGTGTCTGCCACGCTTGGGGGTCACCCAGCGTAAGGGGGATCACCCCTGTTAATCACTCCATTATGTGCCTCCACTACTGTGTCCTGGGAGGTGTATCCCTGTGGGGAAGGAGTGTATCCAATGGTTGTGAGGTCCAGTGGGAGTAGGGAGCGGAGTAAGATATCAGCTCTATTTAATTTCCCTGCCAGTAGATAGAGTAATGCATCCACTATATACCCACAGCAGGGGACATTCCATTCATAATCCTCCAGATGTACAATAAAACTGTTATTCAACATGTCAATTGTATAGAACAGAATAGAGCAAACTGTCAGCAGATGCACACAGCAGGGATCAGTCCTACATATTCATGCAGAGTTACATATAAAACTTTTATTTCACATGCCAATGAAATATGCCAGTATAGAGCTCAGCAGTGAACAGTCCATTCATAATCTTCCAGGAAAGGTACATATAAAACCTTTATTCCACATGCCCATGAACAGTACTGAGCTCAAAAGTACTTGTAAAACTTTTATTTCACAGGAAAAATATATGAAACAGTACAGAACTAGCCGCCAGTTCGTGGGAATCACGAACTCGCCAAACGACATGGCCGACGTGAATCTCGCGAGTGCCGCGAGATTCAAGATGGCCGCCGTTCGCGCGCAAAAGTGCCGTGCGGCCCACGATCGAGGATACGATCGCGGTCTGCCGGCATGGAAAAGAGTCCCCCCGACATCCCCAACCCCCAGAGACCTGCCCTGAAGTCCCAGCACCAATGAATAAAAAGCGTGCTCGCGGTAAAACGCCGCGATCCATGCGAGACCAGAGTAAAGCATAGGAAAGAAAAGGTGCCAGCAACAGAAAACAGACTAATAAAGCAGAAAATACAGGGTTAATTCAGGGGAAGGGTAACAGGGGGAGAATATCACACTATACAAATCCAAATGGAAGGCAAGTGCAAAATAATGAAAAACGTTTAGGCCAAAATTGCAGGACAAGCTAATAAAGTTTAACAAAAGTGCCCATGCATATCCAGAAACAGTTTGGAGCAAAAACTGAATGTCTAGCATTAAAAATCTAACTAAAGTGACCATTGCAATATTAATAAAAACAGTTGGAGCAAACTGAAAGTCAATTAATAAAGTTTAATTAAAGTGGTATCCAGAAAAAACAGTTAGGGTTAAAACTGAATGTCTAGCATAAGGTGTCTAACTACAGTGACCATAGCAATATTAATAAAAACAGTTTGGAACAAACTGAAAGTTAAGCAATAAATGATTAACTAATGACAATTGCAATATTCAGTAAAACAGTTTGGAGCAAAATACTCTGACCTGTGCCTTGGCTGGTAAGCAGCAAAGAAAGAGGAAGTCATGTGACTGTCAGGGCTTTATATATGAATGTGATGCCTGTTACTGATTGGTTTAAAGTTTATTGATTGACTTGTGCTGCTGGAGGCATAAAGTAAAGAAAGTTATGCAAAATATGAAGCCTCCTGTCATGTGATAAAATTAGGGGTTTCTGCCTTTCTCTGTCCTGTAGTGCATAGAATCATCAGCTTACTGGGAGCATACCATCCAGATCCTGTCAGCACAGTGGGGGGCTACTTCCCTCTCTAATGGAGCTTTTTAAACCCAGAGCCAGGGGTGATAAGGCTCTGGTCCATGTGAGTTCTCCCCATTGTCCCCTACTGTATATTACACTATCCAGATTGTCTGGACTATATTGTGTTTTGTTTTGTTACCTGTAGAATTGTTTTGTCATCAGTTCAAGCACACTCAATTTTGGTAATATTTTATATATATATATATATATGTATTAAGGCAGTTTTGCCTGTATTTGTGGGAGGGGCTTAAATTAATTCACTCCCCTATATAAGGGACACCCCTTACCTGACTCATATCGCTTGAGGTCAGCATCAGAATGATTTCCACTTCCGGGTCATCCAGACGCCATTTTACCTGATTACTCCATGAGGTTTTCTAAGCAGAGCTGTGTCAAGAATCCAGCCACAGGCTTTTCCGGCCTACCACCTTCTTTCTTCAATCCATCGCCGTGGATGGTGTCCAAGTGACTCACAAACAGTAAGTCGACCTACCCGTTACGCCAGGCATCAGTCCCACGGCACCATGCACGGGTCAGGTCCTCACTTTACGGCTGCATTTTGTCTATGTCTGTTCTAAAACCATTGCATGTTCATGCATATCATTCGTTTAAACCCCCTACCGGTCTTTGGGTGTACTACAGGCTTCTTAGACATTATTGCATTTCATGTACAAACCAACGAACCACTGCATTTTCGCCTACACACTGACCCCTACCGGTCTTTGGGTGTACTACAGGCTTCTTAGACATTATTGCATTTCATGTACAAACCAACGAACCACTGCATTTTCGCCTACACATTGACCCCTACCGGTCATTCGGTGTACTACCGGCTTCTCAGACATTATTGCATTTCATGTAAAAACCAACCAAACACCGCATTTTCACCTACACACTGACCCCTATCGGTCATTCGGTGTATTACAGGCATCTTAGACGTTTTTTGCATTTTCATGTACAAACCAATAAACGACCTCATTTTCACCTACACACTGACCCCTACCGGTTTTTGGTGTACTACAGGCTTCTTAGACATTAAAGCATTTCATGTACAAATAAACGAATCACTGCATTTGCACCTACACACTGACCCCTACTGGTCATTTGGTGTACTACAGGCTTCTCAGACATTATTGCATTTCATGTACAAATCAACGAATCACTGCATTTGCGCCTACACACTGACCCCTACTGGTCATTTAGTGTACTACAGGCTTCTTAAATATTATCGCATTTCATGTACAAATCAACGAACCACTGCATTTACGCCTACACACTGACCCCTACCGGTCATTCGGTGTACTACGGGCTTCTCAGACATTATTGCATTTCGTGTATAAACCAACAAACCACTGCAATTTTCACCTACACACTGACCCCTATCAGTCATTCGGTGTACTACAGGCTTCTTAGACGATTTTGCTTTTCATGTACAAAACCATAAACCACTGCATTTCACCTACACACTGACCCTTACGAGTCATTCAGTGTACTACAGGCTTCTCAGACATTATTGCATTTCATGTACAAACCAACGAACCACTGCATTTGTGCCTACACACTGACCCCTACAGGTCATTCAGTGTACTACAGGCTTCTCAGACATTATTGCATTTCATGTACAAACCAACTAACCACGGCATTTTCGCCTACATGCTGACCCCGACCGGTAAATCAGTATACTACAGGCTTTTTTAGATTTTATTCCACTTCATAAGCAAACAAACGAACTACAGCATTTTCGCTTTTATACTGACTCCTATCTGTCAAATGGTAGCATTAACCCCTTAAGGACACATGACATGTGTGACGTGTAATGATCCCCTTTTATTCCAGAAGTTTGGTCCTTAAGGGGTTAAAGGGTATTTTAACATACAATCAGCATTTCTGACCCCTACTGGTCAACAGCAAAACTGTCTTCACATGTCATATACAATTTACCAGCCAATATAAATTACACATAAGATTGTTTTAAACATAACTATAGACCATAAATTAAACTCCAGCACGGGCTCAACTTCAGGTTTAATTCACAATAATTTACATTTCACATCAAGACCAACAGTGGTTCTATCAACACTGCCACCTACAGGTCTGTCAAGTACATTGACAATTTTCATGGGGTTTTACAAACACCAAAACACTGACACCTATAGGTCAACAGACAAACAACATTTCACATACCAATCAGTATCCAACTACACTGCCACCTATAGGGCACTCGGCAGATCTCCAGTGCACTTGCATTTTGCAACACCATGTTCACTGACCCCTACCATTCAATAAGACATACAACAATTCACATAGCAATCACTATGTCAACATCTGGTATAAATACATATATTATTACACAGTAGCAGACGCATCTGTATATATGTAACTGGTAATATAGTTCACATACATTTTTCACAGCACGCTGCTCCCGCAACAGACTTCCCCTAGCAAGGGGACATACAACATACAAGGTGGGGACAGACCACATTTTCACTTGTACATACGGCACTTAATGGGTTAAGATTGATACATATTTAACCAGTATGGCTACGATGTTTAATATTTACACATCACGTCACTTTACTTTTCACATATACTGTACGTATTAAGATAAGCTTGGTCTATGCCATATTTCCTTATGCCATACGGTTTTATCCATTCAGGTTACAGTTACTACTAAAAAACCTATACGGATTGTCAGGTTCAATACCATACTACCAGGTACATACACCTGCTCACGTAGTTATCCATCTCTTACCTTCCCTGGAATAGTAATAGTGTACTGGCAATTAGGGTTCTAGGGCCCAATAGGTATTACCCCCTTTTTTCTCTGCATTATGCTTCGGTTAGTGGTCCCGCGAGGCCAACACCCCGCCTCACACTCGGAGGCATACACCCCTCGGGCCACTCGTGAGCTAGCCGCCTCGCATTGTATCATAGAGAGGACCTCACCTGTCACTCCCCTTCCTATTTTCTGGTTACTGTCACCGAGAGGCCAACATCCTGCCACAACGTTCGGTGGCCACACAAAATCCCCTCGCGCCAAGCATAGATAGAGCCTCTCAAGCCACTTGGCAACTAGCAGGGCCTCACCAGTCACCAAAAAACACCAAGCCTAATCGTTTCGCCTTACGGCTTAGCTAGCAAGCCAGTACAAGAACCCTGGGTACAAATAATAATTGCAATCTTTATTGTTATTTAAGTATTTCTCAAAAAGATGGTGAAGAATCACCTCTTCCTAGCACCCCGGCTAGAATTGATACACCTTCAAGCAGAGGAGATGTTGCTAGTCCAGCAGCAATCAGATCCTGGACGATCCCACACATTACCACCGACCTAAGGAGGTGACAAATCCCCTACCCTGCTACAGCAAGGAAAGCAGTTATTCAAACTCCTCCATACATCAACGGACAACACGGAGGCAGGGGAAGGCCCAGCTACATCAACTCAGGTGACACCCAGGCTATGCTAGCTTCACTCATAAACTCATGAGCCAAAAAATTTATGACAGACTGGCAATCTCGAGTTGGTCACCACAGCCCTCACAAGGCTGGGCCTCACGCTACTGTACAACCAGCACCAACCGAAACTCGGTTACCTGGTACAATCAATTCTTATGACACACAAGATGTTAAACCTGCACGTATGATCCCAGCACATTGGGGAAACAAGGCATATATATGTATGATGATGTATCTGTGATGGTCAGATCCAGGGATTCCAGGTAAATCGGGAACTGACCATCCCTTGGTTGGGTTGGCATTTGGAATATGTGGAGATGTTTATTTGTGCAGGTACCCATACAGAAGGGATTTTGTCCCAAACAAATGGACGAGCACTCTCAGGCTCCAGGTACCAGCACCTCTGAACTACCAGAGACCACTGATATGAGTAGTTGCATTGCATACAGACTGTTGCATATATGTTCAAATAGTTCAGGGCACATGACAAACCATGTGTCCCAATACAACTTACAAATAACGTATTCACCATCTGTACACACCAATGCATTTTCAACACTACTGACTCATCACCCTTCCAGACTTGTAGTAGGTTTACTAAAGCTCTGGAGCTTCAAAGGGCTCCCATACAGGTATCATAAACACACCTTCAAGGAATATAGCATGCCCTCCCTTACAGTCAGCACAACAAAACCATTGGCTGTAAACACACTCCTAGCCAAGATTTGCAGAGGGGTCTTCCAATCTCCACCATTTACAGCATGGCACCAAACACACACATTGGTATTGTCACAAGGAATCTTCCCTTAAACAAAGACTAACCATGGACTTATTGGTAACACACACCTCCGCTACCCCAAGTCTCAACTCCCTCATACCCTCCGAGGATTTTTCTTACTATACAACACCATTGATCTACCTTTACAGCTATCACTCAAGCATGGGTTGAAGCTTGATTAAGTAAGACCAATATCATCAACGCAGTAAACGGCTACCATCTACCCTACACACTGGCACTTACATGGCATAAATTGGGCAATCCTTTCCCCGCTCAACTTTCGAGCTACAGATTAGCCTACTATCGATATTCGCAGATACTCTGTGCTGGTTATGATAACATATCCAGAGGCCTTACAGTCATACACTATCTAGAAGACTTCTTGTTAATCAAAGAAAGCATATTTTTCACTAGAAGCCTCACGGCAGCTTAGTCTGGTTGACCACTTGGGCGTCCCAGTACCCCATAAGAAACAGAAGGCCCAGACACTATCTTCACATTACTGGGCATATGACTTGAGTCGGCATCCATACACGCAAGTTACCACAAGACAAATAGGGAACATTCTCAACTACATCAATCACTACCTCCTGCTTAGTACTTACAACTGCAAGGAACTACGATCCCTACCAGGTTCCTTAATTTTGCCATGCTTTCACATCCAGAGTACTTTCCCCTTTTTTCCACACTTCCAACATGACGATCAGAGGAGGTGCCTAGACACCTCAGCAACAGCAGACCTGCACATGGGGGGGGATTTCTTAACCACTTGGCATGGTAAAAGCATGTTCCTTCCAGGATTGTCTGACACTTCTCCAACCAGATGGTCAGACGCAGCGTATACCACGGGTTTGGCAGCGATCTACCGGGAACAATTGCTTTGGGGCTGTTGGCCATGGCATCCAGGTTTGGAAATTTTTCCACCACTTCAGCCCCTTTGGGAGATCTACCCCATTGTAGCAGCTGCTGTGGCATGGGGTAAATCATGGTCAGGGTCATCAATCCGTTGTTACTCAGACAACTAAGCACATGCCATATCATCAACAAACGCCACTACTCATCCATAAGTTCATGATGTTTCTGGGGAACTCACTTGGTTGGCCACTTATCACATTTCACTTTCATGTACCAGACGGGGGTATACATCCCTGCCGACAACTGTCTCATTTATATTCCAGGCATGTTCATCATACGCTTCCTACAGCCGCCCATACAGTCACGTCCACTCTTTCGTTCCAGAGACAAAATCATGGATTAGACATACTCATGCAGCATAGCATGCACTATCCCACCTAGCACTTTCGTCCCATACTTGTAGAACGCATAACACAGCTTTTCACCTGGCTTAAAGAATCTCATTGGAACACGACATAGCTCAACCTGTGTCACAAAATTTCTCCTAAGTTTTGCTTATTTTTGCCACCTTAAACTTAAACTATCTCATACACCATTAATTCTATATTTTACAGGCATTCAACGACACATGATAACCTATGGCCAAAACTACCATAAACTTCATGCTATCATACCAGAAAAGAATATACTCAGAGGTTTTCAGGAATCCATTCCCCCACGTTCCTCTCAGAGATTACCAATAGCCATCCAACTGTTCATCCTTATCGGACCTATTAGATCTACAACCATTCAATTATACTACCAAGTCGGCCATTACCAGCCATGCACATTGCCTTTTATGCCTTTCTCAGGCCAGAGAATCCACTACCATCACCACCACTCAGACAGATCATTGTCTTCAACGATCCCACGTACGTAAACACATATATCATTACCTATTGGCTCTACCACATTCCGAAATGAGTCAACATGCACCAACAGTAGAGATAACATACTATCCTACCCACAACAAATGGTGCCCACTTTCGGTCCTAGATTCCTACCTTCAAAATCCTTTCAGGAATTAAATACTGTAATGCATTTAAGGAAATGTCTGGTTAATTTGTATATATTTGTTGACTGTATTAAATCTTTGATTATTCATTTTTGCCCTCTTTATTTACAGGCCTACCGTATCGTCGGTATCGGCACACCACAACCGACTTGCTCCCTTTACACTATCCTAAGCTTATGCTGGATCCTTACTCCATATACGGCTATTTTGCCCCTTACACAAGTATTAAGGCAGTTTTGCCTGTATTTGTGGGAGGGGCTTAAATTAATTCACTCCCCTATATAAGGGACACCCCTTACCTGACTCATATCGCTTGAGGTCAGCATCAGAATGACCCTCCCACCCACTCCTCATTTCAACACTTTCTCTTTTCTTTCCATTTACTTTACTTTCTTACTCCTTGGTGGGCCCTCTTTATTTACAGGCCTACCGTATCGTATCGGCACACCACAACCGGTATCGGCACACCACAACCGACTTGCTCCCTTTACACTATCCTAAGCTTATGCTGGATCCTTACTCCATATACAGCTATTTTGCCCCTTACACAAATATATATATATATATATATATATATATATATATATATATATATATATATATATATATATATATATATATATATATATATATATATATATATATATATATATATATATATATATATATATGTGTGTGTATATACACACACACACATTTTATAACTGCCCCCCTACTTTTGTCCCTGGCCCCTTATGTGCCCCCCATAAGTATGAATCCTGGAGACGCCGCTGAGTGGGGGTTAGTTCCCTCTCCAGTGGAGCTTTTTAAACCCAGAGCCAGGGGTGATAAGGCTCTGGTCCAAGTGAGTTCTCCCCATTATCCCATACTGTATATTACACTGTCCAGATTGTCTGGACTATATTGTGTGGGGTTTTTTTTTGTTTCTTGTAGAATTATTTTGTCGTCAGTTCAAGAACACTCAATTTTGGTAATATTTTATATATATATATATATATATATATATATATATATATATATATATATATATATATATATATATATATATATATATATATATATATATATATATATATATATATATATATATATATATATATATATATATATATATATATACACACACACACACACACATGTTTTATAACTGCCCCCCTACTTTTGTCTCTGGCCCATTATGTATATACTGCATATATATATACTGGCTGGTCCCACTTTAAACAGGAGTGGCTTGCAGAGCATCATGGGAGTTGTAGATTTGTAACTGCTAGTGAGTTTACCTGTTAACTACCACTGTGCTAGTATACAAGTTTCAATGAATCAATGTGGTTTAATTACAGGATACATAACATTAAATGACTGGGCAACAGCTCTGGAATCTGTTTTGAAACTGGGTCTCCCATGGAGAATGTTGAGGCCGCAGCTAATCGGTAGTTCTCCAGAAGGGCTACTGAGATACAGGGACTGGTTTGATGAACTCTCTGCATGTCAGCCAACTCGAGAGGTACTGGTTTGAGTCTGAAAATCAAGTTTAGATTTCCATGTTTTATCTATACTTATGAATATTTAATATAGGACAAAGACAAATGCCAGGGATGTCATATAGCAGTAGCATTGTAATAAAAAAATACTTTTTAGCTTTAAAGGGATATCCAAAAGCTGAATCATAGGGTTGACTGTCATTAACTTACCCGCTCCAGGTGCCCACACTGCTCCACTCATCGGGCCGCGTTAGCCGTACGCTTTGTGCAGTTAAGCTGCTCCACTTCTCAGGTTGCGCAGACTGAATGCTCCACGCTGCCACGCGACCTGATCAGGGAAACATTATATACTTGCCATTTGGCCTGGCCAGCAGCTCCTTCCTTTCCTGGTGTGCGCAGGCCAAAATTCACACAACTATTTTCTTCCCTGTATAATCATAGACACTGCCTGAATTGCTTGAATGGTGCTTCTTTTATTGATTCAAATGTTGTGACATCACACCTGCCCTTAAAGAAATCACGTCATCCAGGTTACCTCTTTATTAATTATTATGGAGTCGCAGAGATGACATGGACGATTCAGAACTATTGTTAGACTTTATAATTCTAATTTGGGCCCTTATTAAGTGCCCTATCATGGTTTCTGCTTTGATACACATTAGTGTTTATAGTAAGTCTCCCTTGATATTCTGATATTGACCTTGCCTTGTATTTGACTTCAAGTATTTCTGGTATCCTGACTGTGGCAAACCACCAAGATATTACCGCCACGGATTCCCTTTTCCCCAAATATCACAGCTCCAATAATCCTGAAAGTAAATATCGCCAGTATCTAATTTCCCCTCACACATGAGCCGAGGCTTAATGCTGGGAGTAGAACTGTTTAATGCAGACACAGTCACAGAATTTATACATACAGTAAACTCCTCCCCTGTGCCTGAGAGATAATTGAGCCAGGAACTGTACAAACTCAATTTTCTTCAGGTACAGAAACACAAAACAATTTTCAAACACCCCAAAAGTACCCATAAAATCCATGGAAAAAGTCACATACTCGAACAGCCCTGATCTGAATGACCATCATATCCAAAAATCACTTTGGTAGTTTTGAATTGCCATCACAGGCCTGCCACGAGGTCGAAGCCCAAAATAGTTCCAGGGAAATTGTGGCAAGGGCCAGTCTCCATTCACGGGATATTGTACGAAAATCACATAGTTTATACGAAGGATTTCAAGTGTAAATTGCTCCCCTCATTCTGTAGTTTATATCGCCATTCATATAGGTGGTCTGGAATTTAAACGGGCAGCAGGTCTATTTTCACTGGCATTCGCGGGAATGCCTGGCCAAAATCAGTTCCAGGCACTCCACGACTAAGTCCTGCTGCCTGTGTTCGGGAGACAAAATGTCCGACATCCATTCTGTCGACCACGTGTTTTCGCTTGCACTAAATGGCGGCCACCCAGTGGAGCATTCTGTTAATTATTCCATTGTGGTTTTCTTACTCAGTGTTCCACGTTCTAATGAGGTTCTGGGGTGGTCCTCGTTCGGGAATCAAAACAGGTGGGTATGAACAAATAAACAATTATCCATAAAATGAAATGTGCTGAACCAAGTGGTGGGGCATTCCTTCGCACTGCTTCCCCTTTGCTCACGGCTCCAGCAACTTGGGGATGTCTGGGAAAAAAAATTAGTCTATAAGTTGACAGCTCAGTCTGGCGTGATAGCCCGTCTGCATTCCCGTTTTGTTTCCCGGGTCTGTAGTGGATGGTGAAATCATAAGGTTGCAGGGCTAGACTCCACCTCAGTGACCCGGTTGAGCCAGACTAAGGGGTTGTGGTCAGTGATGAGAGTGAAAGCGGGGCCATACAGATACAGGCTTAACTTCTTTAGTGCCCACACCAGGGCTAAGCACTCTTCCTCAATGGCCACATAGCTGACCTCTCGGGGTAATAATTTCTGACTCAAGAAGGCCACTGGATGCTCTCCCCCGTCCTGTCTGACCTGGCTTCCCCCAGTCCAAACATTAAAGCATCTGTTTGGACAATAAAACGTTTGTTAGGATCTGGGGCAGCCAGGACAGGTGCATTGACAAGAGCTTTTTTTCAAGGCTTGGAACGCTGTCTGACATTCTGGGGACCACACGACCTGCCTAGGTAAGTTCTTTTTGGTCAAGTCAGTCAGGGGTTTGGCCATAGCACTATACTCTGGGACAAAGTGTCTGTAGTAGCCGGCTGTTCATAGGAAAGCCATTACATGTGTTTTGGTAGGGAGAGTGGGCCAATTAGCAATGGCCTCAATCTTGGCTGGTTCAGGCCATTGCTTACCACATCCTACACGGTGGGCAAGATACTGTACCTCCGCCATACCAATATGACACTTGTCTGGTTTCAATGTTAGGCCGGCTCCCCTAATCCTGTCTAGTATGGTGCCTACATGCTCTAAGTGAGCATCCCAGGTGTTGCTGTAGATGGCTATGTCATCCAGTTATGCACAAGCATAATCCTGGAGACCATCTAGGAGGCGATCCACCATCCTTTGGTGGCAAGGGCATTCTTCATTCCGAACGGCATAACCCGGAACTGGTATAAGCCGAACGGAGTAACGAAGGCCGGTTTGGGAATAGCCTCCTGCTAGGGGAATCTGCCAATACCCTTTGCAGAGATCAATAGTGGTCAGATAACATCCCCTAGCTATACGGTCTAATAATTTGTCGACCCTCGGACTACAGGTGAGGTCCAAGGACACACAGAGTGTTGACCCCTAAGCAGATCATTTCATTTATTTATTCCGCATTCTTACCGGGACTGCCTCAGGAATGCGGTATGGGGGTTGTTTCAATGGGGCCTGGCCTGGGGTGTCTACCTTGTAGTGAATCCTGGTTCTTGGGAGAAGGTTGCCTGTTTGGCTTCCAGCAGTTGGCTTGCTTGGGTTCGTTCCTGCATTCCCAGTCATTCCCCTAGCTGTACCAACTCTATGGCCCCTTCTCTGGAGTCACCTCCTAACAAGTTGGGTAAGGGTAGGGCATCAGGATCCTCTGATGCTGGGGCACACACTGCAGCTACTTCTTCCTCTCTGCCTTTTTTTCCTTGAGCATGTTAATGTGAAACATCAATTTCACCTGCTCATTCTCACAACTGGCTACCGTGTAAGTGGTGTCACATACCTGCCAAATAACTTTGTAAGGTCCCTGCCATGCTGCCTGTAGTTTATCATGTCGTACTGGCTTGAGTACCATGACCTTTTGTCCGAGCTGGAAACTACGGTGCCTAGCTCTCCAGTCATACCATACTCGCTGGCACTTTTGAGCTGCCTGGAGGTTCTTGCGTAGCGTCTGGGCCAATGCCTCCATTAGGTCCCTTAGCTTAAGCACATATGGTACAATCAGGGTCCCCGCTATCTCTGTCTCCCCTTCCAAATGCTCTCGAATAAGGTCTAGGGTCCCCGCACCCACCTTCCATATAACAACTCAAATGGGGAAAACCCATTTGATTCCTGTGGCACCTCCCTATAAGCAAATAGGAGGTGTGTCAGGAACTGTTCCCAATCTCTGCAAGTGGTCGTGAACGTCCTTAATATTTGTTTAAGGGTTCCATCGAACCGCTCACAGAGACCGTTAGTCTAAGGGTGATAAGGGGAGCTCATAAGGGGCTTTATCCCACAGACTTTCCATAGCTGGTGGGTTACCTCAGCAGTGAACAGAGTAGCCTGATAAGAAAGGATCTCCCTGGGAAATCCTACTAGGGAGAATATTTTGACTAGGGCATCAGCCACCGTCTCGGCCTGGATGTTTGATACAGCCACAGCCTCGGGGTACCGGGTTGCGTAGTCCACTACGGTAAGGATATTTTGCTTACTGGAGCAACTAGGCTGGGCTAAAGGTCCTATCAGGTCCACCGCTACTCGGCTAAAGGGCTCTTCAATAATAGGCATAGAAATCAACTTAGCCTTTGGGTGGTCCCCACTTTTGCCTACCCGCTCTCATTCTTCACAAGCCTGGCAAACCTGGCAATACTGCCGGACATACTTTGATATCCCAGCCCAAAAAGTTCTGGGTTATGTGGTAAGATGTCCGTGGTATTCCCAGATGCCCTGCTGATGGTACGTTGTGCCCTACTTTCAGTAACTCCAGACGGTATTTCTGAGGTACTACCAGTTGACACTTCTGAATGGGCCCAGGAGTGTTTAACTTGGATTCAGTAATCCGATATAACCGTCTCACTTTCCACACAAACTGCTCTCCGCCTAACCCTTCCTGATCTGTTATGGCTCTCTCCCTATACTTCTGCAGGGAGGGATCTCCCGCTACTTCCTTTCCAAAGTCCTCAGGGGTATCCCAGGGGAGGGGTTCTACAGTTAGTCAGGGTAGGGGTTCTTGCCTGGGCCTCAACAGAATGTGAGTGGGTATCCATAGTTGGGTAAGGGTAGGTAGCTCTGGGCTCTGGTAGTCACGGCTTGCACTTCATGGTTTGTTGTGGAAGCGAAAGCAGAAGTTAGGGGTCCTAAGTCATTCCCTAACAGAACCTCGGCTGGCAAGTCTTTCATCACTCTGACATCCACAGTACCAGCTCCTGCTCCAAAATCTAGGTGTGCCCGGGCAATAGGAAGTCAATAAATAGCTCTTCCTGCCACCCGAACTACAACAGTTTTCCCAGGACGTTTGCTGTTACCCACCCCTAGTGGTTCTTCTTGGTTCAGCTCCATAGCTTTCCATGTCTAGGAAATGGGATGGTCTATGCAGTGGGCAGTGGCCTGGGGAGTTGTGGTCCCTGGCCGAGTCCTGTTGAGTCTAGGTGGCTCCAGGGGACAATTGTTCTGTAGGTGACCTATTTATGTGCACCGAAAGCAGCGGAACCCAGTCTGCCACCAAATGTGGCGGATCGCCAACACGGATTCCCTTTTCCCCAAATATCACAGCTCCAATAATCCAGAAAGTAAATATTACCAATATCACATTTCCCCTCACACATGAGCCGAGGCTTAATGCTGGGAGTAGAACTGTTTAATGCAGGCACAATCACATAATTTATACATAGAGTAAACTCCTCCCTTGTGCCTGAGGAATAATTGAGTCAGGAACTGTACAAACTCAATTATCATATCCAAAAATCACTCAGATCGATTTGGTAGTTTTGAATTGCCATCTCGGGCAAGTTTTGACCGGCCTGCCACGAGGTCGAAACCCACAATAGTTCCAAGGAAATCATAGCAAGTGCCGGTCTCTGTTCGCGAGATATTGTACGAAAACCACATAGTTTATACAAAAGATTTCAAGTGTAGAATGTTCCCCTAATTCGGTAGTTTATATCTCCCGAACGCAGTACGTATAGGTGGTTGGGAACTTGAACGGGCAGCAGCTCTATTTTCACCGGCGATTGTGGGAATCCCTGGCCAAAATCAGTTCCAGGCACTCCACGACCAAGTCCCGCTGCCTGCGTTCAGGAGACAAAATGGCCACCATCTATTCTGTCGACCCCGTGCGTTTGGTTGCACGAAATGACAGCCACTACTAATTGTTTCTGTTGCGGTTTTCATACTGGATACTTAGTGTTCCACATTCTAATGAGGTTCTGGGGTGGTCCACGTTCTGGAACCGAACCAGGAGGGTACGAACAAATAAACGATTATCCATAAAACTAAATGTGCCGAACCAAGTGATGGGGTATTCTTTCACACTGACCCAGCTTGTTATTTTGTTTTTCCACATTTCTATAATACTGACCTTGGCTAATTCTGACATTGTCTCTATTAACATTAAATCCTGCCACTCTAGGGCCCGGTAATACATCTATTTAGAACCTTTGTCTGTGGGATTTGCCTTTTCCTGTACGACAGTGACAGATAGACTTGACTTTGAAGATTATTATGGCAGCAAATACCCTATTAACATCAAAATATTTAAATCTTGTAAAACATGTAAAATGTTTTTAGTGTTTTGCACTTAACCCTATGTAGACAGGCTTATGTTAATCAATAACTTAATTGATGAGATTAATAGTAGCTTCTTAAAGGCACACTCCAAGCAATTTCTTGTAGGGGTTATGTTTCTTTGACACAATAAGTAAAGCCCACCCACATTTTTTTCCATGCAATTTTTAAAGCGATATGACAAAAACAGGGAATTACCCTGCACCGTAATCCCACCCTTTTGCTGAGGGCATCACAATGAGGAAGTTCACTTCCTCATGATCCCTAAATAAGTGTATGTCTATTTGGAGTTATTTGCTATGCCTCTACATTGCTTTTGTATTGATTTATCCATGGCCATGGGTAGAGATTACTATGTAGAGACACAAAAGAACATCTGTACTTATTTTACTATACATTTCTACTAGTTGTTTTCTTATTATGCCTCCACAGTTTATACCATAGATAAATCACTATGTATGTAATTGGATTTATAACATTATAATATTGTAATATTTCCCTTTATCATTCAATAAATGTCAAGACTGATTTATCTTTGAAGAAACTAAATGCTAATGAAAGATGAAAGATGCTAATGTTAACAAACTCTATTTTGCAGAATTTACATTCAAGTTTGCTGGAAGCTCTCTACAGGAACAGATCAGATCTGGAGACAATATTTAGGATAATAGACAGTGATAGCTCTGGTAAGTAATAAGAGTAATTTGCAGGAACATAACATTTGTAAAAATAATAAATAAATAAATCAGACAGCCTGATGTGTTTGCTCAGGATGTTAAAACACTAAATATAAGTCTAGTTTAAACTTCCAAAGTTGCAGGTTCTATTCCTCACAGTATTAAATAGAAAATTCAGGCATCCAACAATTATTTTGCAGACTTTTAATGGAAACAGCAAGGAAGAGGTGACAATGCTTAGGCCAGATAACTTGACTCTGCAAGGAGCTCATTATTTCTCTGTGGTAATATTCCCAAGGTTCATTAAATTATTACTATGGAATTAGTTAAAGGAACACTCTAGTCACCTAAATTACTTTAGCTAAATAAAGCAGTTTTAGTGTATAGATCATTCCCCTGCAATTTTACTGCTCAATTCACTGTCATTTAGGAGTTAAATCACTTTGTTTCTGTTTATGCCGCCCTAGCCACACCTCCCTGGCTATGATTGACAGAGCCTGCATGGAAAAAAAAACTTTCAAACAGATGTAATTTACCTTAAATAATTGTATCTCAATCTCTAAATTGAACTTTAATCACATACAGGAGGCTCTTGCAGGGTCTAGCAAACTATTCACATAGCAGGGGATAAGAAAATCTTAATTAAACAGAACTTGCAATAAAGAAAGCCTAAACAGGGCTCTCTTTACAGGACGTGTTCATGGAAGGCTGTGCAAGTCACAGGGAGGTGTGACTAGGGTTCATAAACAAAGGGATTTAACTCCTAAATGGCAGAGGATTGAGGCTGCAGGGGCATGTTCTATACACCAAAACTGCTTCATTAAGCTAAAGTAGTTCAGGTGACTATAGTGTCCCTTTAATGGTCATGTTGTATGAGTGGATTCTGTTAAGTTGGTATTAGACACTTTATATGTCAAATAAAGTGGATAGGGAGGAATGGGAATGATATTTACATAGGCTGAAAATAAACCATCAAGTTTAGATTTTCTCACATTTGTTTTTGCTCTTGATCCAAAATGCAAAAATCCCTGTTTGAACACTTTTCAATTTTGCAACAAACTACAAATACATTCCTACTTGACTCCAAAACGGCAGTAAGATTTCTCTTTGGATCAAGAAGCAATTATCCCATAAATAAAAAAATTATATCCATGAATATTTAGTTTCTGCAAGTATTCATCCAGTCAGTGGCATAACTACCACGGCCGCAGGGGTTGCAGTGGCGACCAGGCCCGTCACTCTAGGGGGCCTGGCCACCACTGACGGCCGTGAGCCACCAGCATAGCAGCACCAGCTGGGGCCCGTGGATGTAGTCTAACCGGTAGGAGGGAAGCCATATGCTGTGCTGCTCCCCTCCTGGCACTGTGTGTAGTGCAGTCGAGCTGTCTGACAGGAAGTGCTCACTAAGAGAGCACTTACTATCAGACTCAGACGTGTACCGCGGCCAAAAGGTACTGGGAGTTGGGGGAGAGAAAAATAGAGGGTCTGCAGGGGAAGGGGAGGGTGGGAGAGAAATGGAGGTTCTGCATGGGGAAGGACGGAGATGGAGGATCTGCAGTGAAAGGGGGAGAATGGAGAATCTGCATAGGAAGGGGGGATGAAGGGTCTGCAGGGGAAGGGCAGGGGAGAGACATGGAGGATTTACAGGAGAAGGGGTGAGAAATGGAGGATCTGCAGGGGAAGGCGGCGGAATGAGGGGTCTGCAGGGGAAGGCAGGAGGAATGGAGGGTCTGCAGGGGAAGGGGGGAATGGAGGGTCTGCAGGGGAAGGGGGAAATGGATTGGGTGCAGGGGAAGGGGGGAATGAAGGGTCTGCAGGGGAAGGGGGGAATAGAGGGGCTGCAGGGGAAGGGGGTAGACAAATGGAAGGGCTGCAGGGTCGTGGAGAGAAATGGAAATGGAGGAGGGGGAGAGAAATGGAGGGGAGTGGGGAGAAATGAAGGGTCTGCAAGGGGGGAGAGAATGGAGGGGCTGCGGGGAAAGGTTGGGGAGAGAGAAATGGAGGGCTACAAGGGGAGAGACACACAAGGAGGGGTAAGAGTGAAGGAGGGAGAAAGATACGTGGAGCGGCTTCTGTGGGAAATGAGACACATGGAGGGTCTGGGAGGAGCAAATGAGACACTTGGGGGTTAATGAGACACATAGGGGAAAATGAGACACATGGAGGTGCCTGGGGGAATGAGACACATGGAGGTGTTTTGGGGATGATGAGACACATTAAGGAGCTTGGGGGAAATGAGACATGTGGAGGGGCTCGGGGGGAGGGAATTATACACCTGGAGGGGCTGAGGTGGGGAAATGAGACACTTGTAGCAGCTGGAGGAGGGAATGAGACACATGGGGGGATGAGACACATGGAGGGGCTCGGGGGAGGGAATGATACACATGGAGGGGCTGAGGTGGGGAAATGAGACAATAGTAATAACAAATAAATGTACAATGTGGAAAGGAGTAAGTGAAAAGCTCTACACACCTAAAAGTGGTATCCCCTACACCGCTTTAGAAAATGAACAATATAAATACATACGTAAGGTGGAGCTTCTAAATAACTGTTTAGTAGATATCCTGAAAAATAGAATTATAAAACACTAGTGCAATACAGTATTGTCAAGTATAACGTATATTAAAATGCAAGAGTGGTGTCACTCACAAATCTGGAGTCATACCCTCATATGAATCAATGATGTACGCTTGTGGACCATTAAAAGGATGTCCAGATCCCTCTTCTGTGCAATGCTCTGTCATGTTCCACCTTTGACCAGCTCAGGATAGTGTAGATGCCAAGTCAGAGATGTTTCTACCAAAAAAAAGGTGCTTTATGGTTTAAAATACACTCAAATATAAAATAAATAAAATATAGTATACCAGATCAAGTTCTGGATCAACTGTATAGTCCAAACAAATGTCCAAAGTATCCAAAACGCGTTTCGCCCGATAAAACAGGCTTCCTCAGTTGGCTTTGATGTATCTCACTGCTTCTTTCCTCTCTTAAATCGCCCACTAAATCTGTACTTCCGGATTCCCCCTCTACTCTCCTTTCACTTCCGGGTTCCGTTTTCGGGCAGTTGGAATGCAACGTGCGTTCCATCACTATGACGTCACTTCCTGGTACTCCTTCCGGATTCTGCTTACCAACCTCTTGACGCCTCTTCCTCATGAACCGCCCCTATATGAGCCGCTTTTCTATATCGGCTAATTTTTGCGAAAAAACTATTTATTACATGAGCAGTTCTATGACATATTAAATATGTACAATATAAAATGCCCATTATGTGCATCTTCACACTTATTTGTTTATCTGAGCAAGTTCCAAAGTTCTAAAAAGAGACATACATCAATATTAATAAAATATCAATGCATCAATGAATATTGATTCTTTTAAAATATTCTAGATAAAAATTATATATTAAGACAAGGCAAATAGCATTAATACTTTTTTTAAAGAGACATACATTAATTTATGGCACTCCAGTGCAATCACAAAAAAATCAAAAAATGTTCATTTCTTAAAACATTGTAATAAAAGAATAATTCATTCAGAGGCACACATATCCATTCCCCAAACACAAATGTAATAAAACCAGTGTTTTAAAATATTCAACTACTGAAACTTAAAGCTAAAAGGATCAACCTTATAACACCTAAAGTTCTCAAAATGTTTAACCATTGGAGTATTTATACATCTAAAAAAGGTTCAGTTGTTATTTATAAAACCTAAAGTGATAAAATGTCATATTGAAGAAAGTTAATTCATAAAATGGCATAACTCAAAATCTTGGTTGAGCCCTTGAGGGGTCATAGTATTAAAATTAAAAATGAATATAATTTCTTCCATTCCTATCTTTTTTTGTGTAATCCCCTCCTCCCCAATCCTTTTTTTTTTTATTTTATTTTTTTATAATTTTTCTTTTTTTTTGCAGTGTGTTTAGATTGTGCAAACAGGTTTGAGGTGCCCCAAGAGCAGTCCTCAGACAATTTCCTCACGCAACATGTGGGACATATGAGTAACATGCACAATTTTTAAAGTATAGAGTAAGTGTATATAGTAAACAAGCTTGAGCAGTACAGTAGCTAGTCTATGATTGATACAGGTAATGCTGGTTTGCAACGCTAATTACTTAGACAGGCTAGTGCTATTAAAGCATAAAATTACATTCAGGCTAGGTCTCATGTGATTACTTTAGAAAAGTTGGCATTGTCAACAGTAAGGCTAATTTAACTAAAGCAAATAGTCACACCGGTTAGTTTAGTATATCGATAGGAAAAAGCTTCAAACATGTGTGAATTTATCCTTCCCAGGTTAACTCCCCGCCAGCTAGATAAGAGTCAGTGTCTGTGTGCCGTAAGGCTTGCCTATGAAGTGTAGTGGCTGCAGAGGGACAAAAGCTTGGGAACTGCCATGTGAGGCACAGTCCAGGCAAGTGGCAGAGTGATAGTCCCCTTGTGGAGTACTTGCGAATTATTGCAGTGTCTGCCTCGGGTGGGAGTTAGATCCCTGCAGCCATGTTGTTTTCAGGGTGACCTCGCAGCTGCGGGCTTTCGGTCCGTGTGAGTTGGCTTCCTCGCGGTGCTCTGAGAGGATCGATGTGCAGGGCTTCGTCGCTGGAGCCATGTCTCTCTCTTTGAGGATCCACTCTGTGAGTGCTTGAGGGTGTGCCTGAGTGGTAGATCGCTGGTGTCGATCTCAGCTTTACCGCTGGTAGAATAATAGTGGGTGCTGTTCTCTTAAGCTTAGGGGGATTCCTCACTTTTGAGCAAGCATCAGCTCAGTCTCTCTGGCAGCTTGCACACATGGTGGTGGCCATCTTGTGGACTAGCGCCCGGGTGATGTTCCCTGCCAGGGTGGTTGATTAGGCCCAGGTTGGTGCGCTGGTTAGTGATGCTGCAGACCGGGATGACCCCCCCGGTCCAGAGAGGGGGGGGACGCGAGCCACCAGCCGGGAGAGCGGCCGTCCCATCCCGGCTCAAGCTCCAACGAGATCCGAGCCCAGCCGGGTTACTGTCTGTGCCGGACAGGCTCCCCGTTCTCCCCAGTGACTTGGGGTCTGTGTGGTCGTCGGTGGGGTTGGCCGGTCGCGGTTAACCTCCAATTTGCTCCGACTTTTAGCCCTGGAGCAGGAGCTCAGACAGAACGTGTCTGATCCTGTCAGCAGTCAGGCCCTGCCCCCTCCCCCCCTCCCCAATCCTTTTTAACTAGTTTGATGGCGCTAAAAAACATTCCTTTGGGGTTCTGGTTATGAGCTATTTTAAAATGGTTCGAGACACTATGTGACTCCAAACCATTCTTTGTTTCTTGTATGCTTTGCTTAACCTTTCATATAGGCATGTGATTGTTCTGCCTATATAGAGGATGTTGCTTTGTACTTAGGTGCTCTTTAGATTTTTTGCTCCCCTATAGATAATTTTAGGTTTCTCAGGTAAGATGTCTTTAAGAACCGGATCATCTCGTAAAATATGCCAATATTTATTCATGATTTTGTTTACTTTCTTATGATTTCCATTAAGGTTACAAATAAACGGGATGTTATTATTCCATTTCTTGTTTTTCTTCTTATCTTTATATATTAGGAGGTTCTTCCTTGGTATTGCAAGGACCTCTTCTAAAACTGCCTGAAGTTTAATTTCATACCCCTTTTGTAAAAATTTAGCTTTTATCCTGCCTGCCTGTGCTATGTAGTCCTGATCATTTGAGCAATTACGCCTTATTCTTAAAAACTGCCCTCTGGGGGTGTTTAACAGCCAGGGTGTGTGGTGGCAGCTCTCCTTCCTGATGTACTCGTTTGCGTCAACTTCTTTAAAATGATTCTTCGTCGTGATGCGTGCCTCAACTATATTAATATCCAGATATAAAAAGTTGATACCTTCTTTGCTGATTTGTGCTGATAAAACAATGTTCCATTCATTATTTAAAAATGAAATAAAAGTATTCAGATCTGTACTCGTGCCTGTCCAAATAAAAAAATATAATCTATGAATCGGCAATAGCACACCAAGTTCGCCCCCCAGGGATGTCCTTGATCTACAAATCGCTCCTCCCAATACCCCATAAACAAGTTAGTATAGCTGGGGGCGAACTTGGTGCCCATCGCCATCCTCCAAATCTGAAGGTAAAAAGTGTTGTGGAACCAAAAATAAATGAATGCCCTCTAAAATATAGTCTATTTGTACTTCTTTAAAATTGTGTTTCATTAAAAAAATATTGCACAGCTTCTAATCCTATTTGGTGCGGTATAATGCTGTAGAGGGAAGTCACGTCACACGTGACTAAAAAATTCCCCTCTTTCCAAGTGACTTCCTCTATTAATCTCAAGATGTGTATTGTGTCCTTCAAATAGACAGGATTGCAGATAACTACTGGTTGTAACAAATTGTCTAAGTACTCTGATACCTTTGCCAAAATGGAGTCTGTTCCCGATATAATGGGCCGGCCAGGTGGGTTATTTTTATTTTTGTGCACCTTGGGGAGGTGGTAATACACTGGTGTCTTAGGGTATGGAGTTGATAGGTGTTTTGCTTCATCTATTGTCAAGATTCCGTTTTCTAAACCCTTCTCGATATGGTTGTCAAATTATTTCTTGATATCTTCAATGGGATTCTTGTCGGGGGGAGAGAATGATACACATGGAGGGGCTGAGGTGGGGAAATGAAACACTTGCAGCGTCTGGGGGAGGGAGTGAGACACATGGGGGGATGAGACACAAGGAGGGGCTGTGGGGAGGGAATGAGACACATGGGGAAATGAGTCAGATGGAGCGGCTGGGCTGATGAGACACATAGAGGGGCTGGGAATGAGATACATCGAGGGCTGAGGGGGCACCAGGGCAATTTTTGCACTGTGGCCCCGTGGTTTCTAGTTACGCCTCTGCATCAAGTTACTGTTTAAACATCTATACAGATTGATAAATCCACCTCTTCAGGCAGAGAATTCCACACCCTTATTGTTCTCACTGTGAAAAACGTTTCCTTTGCCTTAGACTACATCTTCTTTCTTCCCGTCAAAATGTATGACCTTGTGTTTTTTGTACAGTAATATTTAAGAATAGATTTCCAGACTATGGTTTGTATTGGCCCCGAATATATTTGTATAATGCTATCATATCCCCTCTCAGATTTATTCCATTCTATTTGTTAATTTTGAATCCCTCCTCTGCAGTTTTTCTAGTGCCATAATATCCTTCTTTGGAACAGATGCCCATCATTTACAGCATATTCAAGGTGTGGTTTTACCATTGGTTTTTAAAACAGCAAAATTATATTTAAATCAAGAGAATTAATGCTCCTATTTATACATGACAATACCTTACTGGCAATCGCAATTGCCGACTGACATTGAACATTGTTGCCTAGTTTGTTGTCTATGACAACTCCCAAATCATTTTCGTATGTTGTTATTCTTAGTTTGCTAACTTTAACCCCTTAGTGACCGTGGAAGTATTGGGTACGTCTGACCAAAAACGATCCTTAAGGACCCCGGATATACTTGCTATGTTTGCAAGAAATAAAAGCGCTGGAAGCGATCATGATCACTTCCAGCAGCTCCAATGGTATTGCAGCGATGCCTCAATATTCCCCCTCACTGCTGGGCTGCTGGAGAGGGGGGAGCGATCACTTCCGGGTTGCTCCACGTGGAGCCCGGCAGTGAGGCAGAGCATCGGAAGCCATCAGGCAGGTTTCCGATACTCTGCCTGTACTGAGTGTCTCGAGGGGTCGGGGCACTCAGTTAAAATAAAAACTTTAAAAATTTTTTAAAATAAATAAATAATAAAAAATGCATTATATATGTATAATATATTATAAAATGCTTTAATTACAATATATTATACATATATAGGAAATAAATGTGTGTATATTTGCGTGTATATATACACACACACACACACACGTATTATATGTGTGTGTGTGTGTGTGTGTGTATATATATATATAGTACACACATATTTTGTGTGTGTATGTATATGTGTGTGTGTATGTGTGTGTGTGTGTGTGTGTGTGTGTGTGTGTGTGTGTGTGTGTGTGTGTGTGTGTGTGTGTATGTATATGTATATATATATATATATGTGTAAAAAACAGACACAATTCTTATCTTGTAATACCTTTTTTTTATTGGACTAACAGAATTTTTTAATGACAAACTTTTGGGAGAACCTCCCTTTCTCAAGTCTGAAGCATTTCTGAGCAAAACGACACATAGTTGTGATACAGGGGTTAAAGCGACATGAGTGTAGATAAGACATAGGTTTGTTAGAAAATAGACACCATCTTAGCAGAGGGTGATAAATATCTTGTTGAAGAGCAGAGTGAGGGGTCTAATGTGTCCTGATGAAAGCTCCGATCGGGAGCTGAAACGTTGACTATTTTGGATGTACCAACAATAAACCGAACTAACAAAACCGAAGACTGCCGGTAATTTTTTGGAATTTCTATATTATTGTGACTTGGCACCAGGTATCTGATATTTATAGTAGGAGTGAAAAAGATTCAAAATTTTCTATATATATATAATATAAATTGGAAAAAAAAAAATTTTTTTTTATGAAAAACAAATAAAAATGCTAACTTTGGCCAGCGTAAGTGGCTACTACAAAAGACTGGAAATACCCTATTTTGAATACCCTGGGTTATCTATATTTTAAAATGGTATGCCATGTTGGGGTTATTTCACATTCCTGGGCTACCATATGGTCTCAAAAGGCAACACAGACCTAGCAAACCAATCTGGCACACTGAATTGGGCAAGTCCTATATTGACCCTGTAATGTTCCAAAACACCATAAAACCTGTAAATGGGGGGTATTGGTATACCCAGGAGACTTCGCTGAACACAAATATGAGTGTTTAAAATAGTAAAACTTATAACGAAGATGAAATCCCCAGTAAAAATGCAGTTTTTGTGTAAAAAAAAAAATGAAAAAAACTAAAATGAACGCTAACTTTGGCAAACGTTTGTGGCTACTAAAAAAGACTGGACATACACCATTTTGAATACCGTGGGTTGTCTACTTTTACAAATGGTATGCCATGATGAGGTTAATTTTCATTCCTGGGCTGCTATACGGTCTCAAAGGTAACATAGGCCCAGCAAATCAATCTGGCAAATTTCAATGTGCAAACATGGAAAAGGGGAAAGCCCTACATTTGACCCCTGTAAGTTTGCAAAAGCCCATAAAACGTGTACATTGGGGGCACTGTTGTACTCAGGAGATATTGCTGAACACATATTGGGGTTTCTTTGTCAGTAACACATAACAGGAACTGAGAATCCATGCCTAAAGTACAATGTGAGAGAAATATAGCACAAAAGAATGACTACCCAAAAGATTGACAAAGACTGGTGGTAGAATTAGTCCATCGAAAGTGTTAAAATACCACCATTTGAAATACCCTAGAGTGTATACTTTTAAAAAATATATGGTTTGATGGGACTTCAAAAATGGACATGGGTGCATGATGACCAGCTGTGAAAATTCCAAGTTGGAAAACTGGAATGCGCACCCTTCAAATAAGGTCCAAATAAGGTCTTTTAGAACCCGACACACTTGTACATGGGTGGTATCACTGTACTCAGGAGATGTTGCTGAACACATATTGGGATGTTCTTTGGCAGTAACCTTTAAAGTTCTCCATACATGTATTCTTAAATTGCTATGTGTGTCCAAAAAATTACCAATTATTATTATTTTTTTTCAATTTGGCATAGATTGGTGGTAAAATGGTTGTATAAAAAGAGTCAAAATACCCCAAGTTTAATTTCTTTGTTTTCTTTTAAAAAATATATACACGTGAAGGGTTATTCAGTGATTCCTGACAGATAGTGTTACAGTGTTGTAATTTTTCATTCATTTGTATGTGTTTAGTGGATAAAGATTTTTATTTATTTGTCACCATATGTTTCAGGGCTTATTTCATTTGAGGAATTCAAACACACTTGGAAACTACTAAGCTCTCACTTAAACATAGAAGTCAGTGACGAGGCAATCTGTAACATGGCTCGAAGTATCGATTTCAACAAGGATGGAAATATTGATATTAATGAGTTTCTGGAAGCCTTTCGATTAGTTGATAAACCTCATGTTGAAGGTTTAGGAACAGACGTTTAGAATGCAGCTAAGAATTGCATGCCATGTATTTCCAAGCCAACATTAAGCAACTGTGAAGAGCATATGAACTATTAACTCTGAATGCTCAAAGCACAAGTAATGTTGAATGGATCAACAACTTATGTCCGTGGCAAAAACACTCCAAAACCTGGATAAGAACATGTTAAATGAATCATTTACATGTAGAGATGTATTCAGAATGCCAGTATATATAAATGTATGTATATGTTTGTACCTGAAAATGCCATAATGCTTTTTCTGTAATAGGACTATACATGTAAGCAGTGCTTTGTAACACAGCTCATGGTGCAAGATAGAAAATAAATAAAGGTGCTACAGTATGATGACAGATTAACCAAAATATATTTTATGTGATCTGTACTCAGTGAGTGCCATATGCACAGCTCTCGGAGTACTAATTAAAGCTAAATTTAAGCGTGTTCAAGTTATTCCTATTTAACAGAAGAATGTGTTAAAATGCCAACTTAGTGTTTTAGTGCACACTATGTACAAAATCATTTTAGTTCAGATTATATATAAAATGTACAGATTTCAAAATACAATTTTTATGTTTTCATTTATCTAATTGCAGATTCTAGAATAGATTTTGATCAATATATGCAACCACTTTGAGTATTAGATTAACTTAGCTGAGGGCAAACTAACAAATGCTTACTTAAAGGGGAACTTTTAAGGGATTTTAATATTATGTTTAATTTTCCCCTCTACTTATCAATATATATGTGAGGTCTTAAAAATTCAATTAAATATAGAAATAAATCCTACTCTATCCTTGAAATTAGTGGCTCCTTCTTGGCTCCATGTCAATCGTTGTTATATGTTCTGCCTTTTAATGTTAGCAGGCAGCAGCAGAGGAGAAATAGAACTAATGAGCAAGGTGTATTTTATCATAAATCATAAAATGAATAAAATAGGCAGCCTAAAAGTTTAGGCTGCTTATATTGACATTTGTTTTGCATTATTGCACTTTGATCTGAACATATTTCATTGTGTCCCTGGGGAAGTCCACTTAGGTGGAAGAAACACGTTGGACTTATTTTATTCATTTTATAATTTGTTTATTGCATACAAATTATAAAAAAAAAAATATATATATATATATATATATAAATTACTGCAAGAAGTGGATTTTACCTTACTACTGTCCTCTACTACTGACTAGGAGGCGAGGAAGGAATAAATCATGGGAGGCACCCCAAGGCACAAAATGTCTTATCTACACATCTACAGCATCTACGTCTACAGCACAAAGTTTATTTATATTCGTACATACTTCATTATGTGTTATTTGTTTTATCCTTATTTTAGATGCATAGCTGAATGCCAAATTTCTGTTTGTATATTTTGCTGCTAAGAGGGTTGGTAATTGGGAAAACCACCTGGGAAATTGCATCAATTATTTAGAATGACAAAGCATCATGGAAGTTGTAGTTCTACAACATCTGGTGATCTACCTGATGGGCAGCCCTGACCATGGGCGTCCGCATGGGGGGGCACTTGCCCCCCCCTGGATTTTTCAGCTTGTTCTGCTTTTTTCGTGTTAGATTTAGAATTAACTGCAATACCGGCGCTGTGTATGGAGAGAGACAGGGATAGGAAGCTGCATCTTATCCCTGCTTCTCTCTGCTGATTGAAACCGCAGGGGAGCAACACATGCAGCCAGATACAGCCTACAGATCAGGTAAGTGGGGGAGGGGGGAGGGTTTGAGAGCAGCCTATAGATTTGGGGCAGCAGCAGATAGATTTGGGGGCAGCAGCCCAGATTTTGGGGCAGCAGCCCATAGATTTGGGCAGGATTTGGGGGCAGCAGCCCATAGATTTGGGGAGGGGGGCAGCAGCCTATAGATTTGGGGGGGCAGCAGCCTATAGATATATAGAAATGAACAGGAAGGGTCAGCAAGGAGCTGGAAGGTAAAGCAGCACAAAGGTAAAGTAGAAGGAGCAGAAAGGGTTAGAAATGAGCTGGAAGGGGCAGAAGGAGCACAAACAAAGTAGGAGAATGAGCAGGAAGGGCCTGCAAGGAGCAGGAAGGAGCACAAAGGGACAGCAAGGAGCACAAAGGTAAAGGAGCAGAAAGAATCAGAAGGAGCACAAAGGTAAAGTAGGAGAAAGAGCAGAAAGGGACAGCAAGGAGCACAAAGGAAAAGTAGAAAAGGGAGCAAAAAGGGTCTGCAAGGAGCAGAAAGGGATCAGAATGAGAAAGGAGCAGAAGGGCGCAAAATAAGCAGAAAGTAGCAGAAAGGTAAAAGAGCAGAAGGGGCCAAGGATAGAAAACAGTGTCAGAAGAAAAAAAAAAGACTGTCAAATGAAGGAGAGGAAAAGGAGATTGGAGCAGGAAGGACAAATGAAGTGAACCTCCACTTTATTCTGGACACCACATCATAAGGCTTTGGTACCTGGGCCTGGCGGGGAAACGCTGGACCTTCTCATCTCCAAAGGTAAAAAAATATCGGTGTTAATGTGTTCACTTTTATTTACTGAGTGTCAGGAAGCACAGAGTTCCTTTGGGTAGGGGTGTCACTGATTGGCTTGAGCGGTCAGCTGGCACTCTAAGCCAATCAGTAGCTCCCCATTCATAAAAAAGTAAAAATATTTTATGAACCGGGAACTAGCGATTGGCTTAGAGCGTCAACTGACCACTCTAGCCAATCAGCGGCACCCATGCTTGACGTCAATCTGCACTTTCTGACACTCTGTTTCAGAAATGTCCTTTAATTTGCTTTAAGGAACACTATAGTGTCAGGAATACAAACATATATTCCTGACACCATAGTTGTGAAAACGCTATTCACCCTGGCTTTATGTGATAATGGCTATGCCCCTTCCCTTTCATGACACTGTCAAAAAGGTACCAAACATGGATGTCATTACAATTATGCCCCCCCCTGGAAAAATTCCTGCGGACACCCATGGCCCTGACCTTGATAAATCTTCACCTAGATTTTCTTCCTGAGACATACTGAAACATACTAAGACATAAAACTAGAATAACTGATTACCATATGTCCCAGCACGATTGTAGCTTGTTGCCAAGCAGAAGAGATGCTCTATCTAAGATTTGGACCGTGAGGCTCAAGCCACTGAATGTTGTGGTGGGGTATTGGCCTCTCGGTGACAGTAAAAGAATCAAAACGTGTGGTCAAAAGGTGGCTGATGTGAGGCTACCTATGATATGGGCTGATTGGACGAAACCTCTGTGTTGAGTTGGGGAGTTGGCCTCGCGAGAACAGCTATTTTTTAAGTTAACAAAGGCTAGCACCTGACCCTAATCAGCCAATTCTTTTTCTCCTAAACTAGGAGAAAAAGAGAATATAAGGACGTAGAGGGGTAACGTACCAGCAAACCACAAATTGTGACTTCTTGAAAAAAGAGGTATTAGATGAGACCTTAAAAAGTAAAATAAGTATCAACTAATTGCTATGGTACGATAACTAATCTATTGTGTGACAGATGTCCGAGAACCCAATTGAAAGAGCAGGAGGACAGGATCTATAAATATTGAATTTTATTTGAAGACTGTGAGTGCAGCCACCTTTGTATAACCGTTATATATACATACATATATATATATGTATATATATATATATATATATATATATATACACGGTATCTCACAAAAGTGAGTACACCCCTCACATTTTTGTAAATATGTTATAACTTTTAATGTGACAAAACTGAAGACATGACACTCTGCTACAATGTAAAGTAGTAAGTGTACAGCTTGTATAACAGTGTAGATGTGCTGTCCCCTCAAAATAACTCAACACACAGCCATTAGTCACTAAACCGTCGGCAACAAAAGTGAGTAAAAATTAAGTCTCAGAATGAGGGGGTGTTGTTGGCTGTTATGTGTGTACTTTGAAGAAGTCTTAAAAATAACACAAGATAATGCATCAGCAGCTTTATTAATCATGCTTTATTTTTTTACCATGTGAGCTGTCTAATGAGTCTCATGAAAGTGAGGGATGAGGATCTGCCTTTGTTAATGATGTCACAGGCTGCTTTATTGTCAGAAAAACATCTAACTGCTTTCCCCTTCCACTGATATCCCCAGGCCTTAGAGGTGGCCACAGACTTCAAACAAAGCTGAAGTTGTGTGGAATGAGGGTAGACCAAGGGTCTCGACTGGCCTTGAGTCTCTGAACCAGGAGTCACCATAGATCACTGCAAACCCTGTGTGGGCTGCAGCATCGGTCCAGACTAAGGGGGAATCATCCGAGATGGGGGGGGGGGAATGAACATTGCTTTCCCATTCCAATGAGACAAGAACCTGAGCCACATGTGTAAATCTGCTCTGGCATGCATATCCAAAGACGTGTAATTATTGTCTGTATGAAGATGGGGAAGAAGGCACAGCAATCGGAAAATAAATGCCCGGCCCTGTGGAAAAATTCTTATAGCAAAGTTCAAAGTGCTTAGTAAAGATTGTAGTTCTACTCTAGTACACTTGTTCTTGGAAAGAAAACATTCCACAGTTTCCCTGATATGCTGTTCCTTCTCTATCGGTAAACTTGCTTGTAATTTAATCGTCTACTTCAATACCCAGGAAGATAACTTTGGTGGAAGGACCTACAGTTTTTTCCCGTGAAAGTGGAACCTTCACGGATGAAAAAAGAGCCATCATCTTTTGAATGCTAATAGCGGTAGTGTGGGGGTCCTCGATTGTGAGAAAGTTAACTAAGTAATGTATGACTGAAGGGCAATCACAGATATTGAGAAGAAGCCCACATAGAGTGTTGGCTAACAAGTCAAACAACTTGGGACTGCTCTTAGCACCAAATGTCAGACGAGTGGCAAAGTAATACCTATCTCTCCATCTTATACCATGCATATGCCACAGTGATGGGTGTATGGGTAAAAGCTTAAGCATTGGAAATGTCTGTTTTTCCCAACCAAGCACCAACCCCTGCCTTTAATTTGGCATGGATGGCTTCGTCCACTGTAGCGTAGTGCAAGGAAAACTCTTCGTAGGGAATCAGTGAATTAAGGCTTGGAGTAGGCAATGAATGTGGGGCAGATAAATTGATAACTAGATGTTTTTATTGTTAGATTTCCCTGTGGCTATGCCTATAGGGTTGGTACGCCAGCACGAGAAAGGTGGATGTGAGAAAGGGCCTATAATGAATCTGTTGTCCAACTCTTTCTTGAGTAATATGTCAGTGTTGAGGGGGTCGAGTAGAGCGGACTGTAGGTTCTGGCATTCGTGAATACCAGTGGGGAGTGTTACTAGGCCAGTGTGGAAACTGTCTGTAAAACCTTGAACCAAAATGTCAACTAAGTGACGGGATGGGTGTGTTCGGAGATAATACGCCAAGTTGTCGATGCTAACTTCGAGCAGACATTGTTTTGGGTACAGACGGTTAAGGCACATGGTTTTGGTATGTGCCCTGTAACAAATTGAGCAGATGTGCAGCAGTCAGCACGAGCCAAATCCGCAACTGCCCGAATTAAAATTGTTGCAGATTTGAGCTTTGCCCC